AGACTCGAGGCAGTAGAAGGAGAAGAAGTCGGTGATCTTTCCATTGGTCTAGCTTGATGTCAGTATACTTTGGGCAGAGAAGGGATGGGGACACGGAACGAACCTCAACGACATATGTCCAGATGACCTGCTCGCCAGGGGCATTCTTGTCGTGCAGAAACCAGTGCCTGAACTCGTCCTTGGAGAACTCAGGGGCCATGTCGAAACGCTTCAAGTACTTGGCCAGAAGTTCGTTTGCGGCATCAAGGTCCTTCTCCTGGAGCTCGCGGAGGCCCTTGGTCGACGTGTTATCCGGAAGCTGGTACTTGCGAATCTGGTACTGCGGCTTGCTGTTGGGGGGCAGCGGGCTGAAACCGACCTCGTACAGCTTCTGCCAGTTGAGGGCGCGGTGGAAGTAACGGCATGTGCTGACGGGCTTGGGCAGCACAACACCACCAGTGTAGAGACCTTGCCAAATCTCGCGCAGGTTGCTGCGGCGCGTAATCTCCTTGATGAGCACGGGTGCGAGACGCTTGCCGCGGAGCTTCTTGTGGACAACCATGAAGTTGACCTCAGAGCAAGTGACGACGTTCTTGCGCACGCGCAAGTTGACAGGGATGGCAGAAATGAAGGCAACGAGCTTTCTAGACTGCGTTGCGCGAACACCAACGTGCCACTCATTACGCCAGCCAGGAGCCATGAGGGCCCTGCCAAGATGGTTAGCTTAGGCCTGTCTGCATGTCACCTAAGACAGAACACTTACCATTTGAGCATGGCTGGTGAGTAGTTGAAGCGGAACATGGCCTCGTCATCCTCGACATAGTGACCGTTGAGCAGCTCGTACACCTCCTTCATCTCACCCTCGTCCTCGAGGTTCATTGTAACCCACTCGAAGCCAGCGACCATTGGCGACGCCTCCGTAGGAACCTCTTCCACCTTTTGAATGCGGATTGGGCCATCCTCAACCTTGGCCTCCGCCTCGCCAAACTTGGGCACGGGTTGCGTGGCCCAGAACTTGTAGCTCGCCATATCCTTGGCGTTCTTGCCAGCCGAGGCCAAACCCGTCATGATGTCCTGCAGGTTCAAGTTCTTCATCGCCGCAGCGGTCTCCTCGGCCGACTTGTTGCTAGAGCTTCCAACGCCGAGCTCGTTCGCCAAAGCCGGGTTCAGGGCGAGAAGCTCGGTGAGCTGCTGGGGCGTCAGGCCACCGATGGCCTCCTTGATGGCAGCCTCCGGGTCGCTGGGCTTGCCGGTGAGCGCATCCTTGACCTTCTTTCTCTTGGACTTCTTCTTCTTCTTCTTGGGAGCATCTGCAGTTGCGCCGGGTGCAGTCTCGGGCGCATCCTCCTCCTCATCGTCCTCGGACTCGACCTCGACTTCCTTGCCCTTGCCCTTGTCGCTCGCCTCGGCAAGGGTGTCGTTGGCGTCTTTGACGGCCGGGTCAAGGGGTTTGGACTCTTCGGCAGGCATCTTGTTGTCCTCGATTCGACGGTTTGTGGTGGGAGTGGTCGATTTTCGGGGGTGTTGGTGGGAGCTTCTTGGAGCTCTGTTCAAGCTTGCGCGGTGGGAATGGCGGGGAAGAAGTTTTGGCGCGAGAGAGGACAGTTTCATGTGCCAGCTGTGCTCCCAGGCTGGTACAGGCTCCAGCTGTGTTTGTGTGACTGCATCATGGCGGGGTCACCTGCTAGGGGCCATGGTACTGCGGGGCAGAAGGTGCCAACCCGCGGTGCGGCGATCAGTCCCCTCCCCATACCCTGGCGCAAAACTGCGAAAGACCGTCCGTGACAACGCCTTTTGGACGACTTGTTCGAGAGTCGCTATGCAAAGTTCAACGTGTCCACTAAGGTTAACCACGCCAATTTCAATTGGATTCATTTGTGTTTCAAAGATTTCAGCGATGTAAAGATGAAATATTCTTGATTCTCAACTTCTGCTTGTTTGCGTTCATGACCCCTCCTGAGTGATTACGTAGACCCTGGATAAGTGTAAATACCATATGAGATGTTATCCTCGAATGATGGATCATAATCAAAAGGGCATCAAATGAAACAATAGTTTGCTGCATATTCGTGCGAGGCGGTGAATCATTGAAAAGTCTGAGTAATTTCCCTCAAGATTCATAACCCCGAGTATCACGCTGTTCTGTTGGTATTGCGACTGAGTGGTTTGCTCATCCATACCCCGGAGACAGCAGGAATGAAAACCGAGGTGTTGTAGACATCATGCTAAATAAGATCAATTCTATACCAGGAGACCGAAGCGCCAACGCAAAAGTCACAACTGTTCCTTCTTCCAAACAAGTCATTACACCCCCGAACAGGTGCTCTAAGGTACAACAACTAAACACCTTCCGCTCTACTCTAATGCTAGCGCTCTTGTGTTCTATGCAAAAGATACCGGCATGGAAAGCCCATGACCGCGATTACAACGTTCTACTGCTAGCATCCGATCCAGCCATGTCATAAGCCGTACCTGCGAGGTCGAAAGAACGCATCACTGCAAGAATTACAGGCGCGTATCCCATGATGTCGTTGTGTCCTGCGAGAGTTAGAAAGAGCACCTTTCAATTAGCTTCATGACAGCTGACTCACCACCGTGTGGGAAAAGCTCCTGGCGGATTATGATATTTGGCTCAGCGTTCCACGTAGTCACAAAGGCGTTCTTGCCCTTGTGGATAGTGCGCACATCCTTCCACGCTTCAAACGAATGATCACTCAGTCCCCCGGGAACAGTCGCGTTCGCAGCGGCGCGGAAAAGCTTGTTGCTCTCCGTCCAGGGAATGTCCGCGTCGTCTCTGGCTGAGATGAGCGTCAAGCGCAGTCGTCTCTTAGTCAGCTTGACAAGGCTCTCCAGCCGATCCACCGACGGCCACTTGTCGTAGATGAAGCCCTCCATGTACTCCAAGAAGCCTGGCCAGACCTTCAGGGGTCCCAGGACGGGAAACAGGCCGCCAATCTTGTAGCCGCTCAGCATCTTGGGCAGATTGCTGAAGCCCGCGACGAGGATGACGCCACCGAATTCGATTCCTTGCGAGGCGTAGAGCTCGGCAACACCGCTCGTCACGGCTGTGCCGAGACTCTGGCCGAGGAGAACGATACGGTCGGAGGGCACGCCAGCAACATTGATAACCCAGTCGATCAGAGTGGCGGCATCTTGGATCAGGCCGTATTCGGTTGGGCGACCTGTTGAGTGACCGAAGCCACGGTAGTCGATTGCCAGGACATGGTATGATGAAGTATCAGTAATGACATGGTAGCTGTCCGGCCTATGGCCTTGCGCAATGTCACCCGCGTTCTGCACATGGTCAGTATGAGAGCATAGGAAACCACGAGTTGGACATTTCTTACACCGTGGACTACGACTAATTAGCGTTTGGAAGCATATGTAATGATACTGAATGACTTACATGAAAGTACAACCCGAGCATCCGGATCCTCTTTCAAAGCCTTGAAAGACTCGGTTTCGGTGAAATCTTGGCAGAAGCCACCCTTCTGCACTGAGAATCTCTCCTCCTGCTTCAGGTACTGAGGTAGAGGCATAACATGCCATGCATACAAGCTGACTCCATCTGGAGTGTCGAGCGAGAAAGGCGTGGCTTGGCCCTCTACGGAGAGAGGTTGTCAGCAATGGCGCGTCTTATATGGTGGTTGGTGCGCCGACTTACTTGCAAAGCCCCATCTCTCAGGCTTGTCAACGTCACGCCACCAAAGGGTGTTGATCTTATGGGCGTACAGAAAGCTTGAATAATTTCATTAGAAAATGCTTATCAGGAGTAAGAGATATATGACAACAAATCTTACTGTCGTTGGAAGAAAGGTGTTGCGCCTAGGGCCAGGAAAGTGAAGTAGAGGCCCAGCGGAGCCGCCACGACCCAGACGGCCGTCCGGAGGATCGGCGAAAGCGGAACCGTCATTATCGGAGTGCTGTGCTAATACCAAGATGCAGAGGGATGTGAAAGACACCGGAGATGAGATTGCGAGACTTCCGAGTTATCTACACATGGCGGGTGGCGGTGATGTGGCCACCGTCAGTGATGCCTTGGCGAACTGGTTCCTTGCTTGAGGTTGGAATTGCCTGCGAATTTCCAGGGATGGTGACATGGAGGCCTTTAGCTGAGTGTACTTTCCATTTGCGTAGTCATGCGTGCCAACCCCAAGTACTTGCCGCTAGTAGGCGCAGTCCCCAGAATGCGGCGACCTTTCGCAACTCTGGTCTGAGCCGCACGCCGACGACAACAGATCATCCGTCGGTATCAGATGTCTTTTTCTCCCCGCCACCACTGCCTATTTCTTGCAAATTGATTTTTATGACATAGGCTGACGGAAGCGCTTCATTGAGTCCATTTGATTTATTCAGATGACAACCATTACTGAGATAATTATGTATTTGTGCATGGACTTGGCAGCGCGCCTATGGTCGGGTTAATTTGCTAAATGCGGAGAGATGGCTACAAAGTACCGCGAGAGTAATTTGGTCTGGCCATTTCTCCAAGCTTCACAGCCACATTCACTCACACATCTGCAGTTTCCCCCATAGCATGGTGAGCTTACGCAAACACCAGCCAAAGTACGGTCGGTAAGCAACTTCCGTGGACCTAGTGACCCGCACGACGCATTGGCAAGCACCTTACCTTAGGATTCATACAGGAGAAAGGAATAGGAGATCCAAGGGAACTGGGTGGAGGAACAGGAGGCTCCCGTCTTGGTTGATGTGGCAGGAGAAGGAATGATCCGGAGTGCATTGCAGAACGAGGTACATGCGCCACGGTACCTTACCTATCGCGGTACGGCGGTACATAGGTACATGACAAAGCATGCGACGATTTTGGCGCGATGTGAATGGCGGGCGGGACCCTTCTATGGAACCCAAGACCCCATGTGCCCCGTGCGCTTCGTCCAGTCAGGGCGCGGCAAAGTGCCCAGTTTTTCCGGTCCTACTCCAGGCCAATCAAATATGGCTGTCCCTGTTAAACTCACAGCCCGCCTTCTCTTTCGTCCGCTGCGACTGGACGGCACGGCACCGCGGAAGGTCGACGTGCACCAAGTGGGAAGGACCTACCTACCTGGACGTGGGACGTGATGGAGGGCGTACTGAGTACCTTGGTACCCGACAAGCAGCAGCGCAGCAGGAGCAGCAGCAGCGCAGCAGAATGAGCAACCGCGCTCTTGCATCTCCGAAAGAAAAAAGAGGCGGCAACAGCCCAGCCGGAGCCTCAGGTACATCTCACTTTGTACCTTTTTTTCCATGCCTCTTGCTGGTCGCCGCTGATGCATCCCATACAAAGCTCCCCATGCTAATATCCCGTCCACCCCAATTCAACTCACTCACACGAACCCTTCCCCGAGTCTCCAAATCCATTCATTCCTTCACAGGTATTCCCGACACAACCCACGCGCGAAGCCCACGCAGACGCCGTCCCGTGAGAACAAGTCCCGATATCCTGCGAACAGCTTAAAGCCGATATATTCACGGCTCGACTTCACTGCCACCTCCCCTGCTCTCCCACTTGCAACATATTCGTGCCCCCCTCCACTCCTCCCAAGAGAGTACGACAACGGCGCCGCGCGCAGTCGAGGGCTGTGGCTTCTTCCGCTGATGATGAAAATACCGACACGCTCGGGAACCTGCTCGTGATACCCCGAACTCTGCGACGGGGAAAAGGCACATTCGACATGGAGAGGAAGAGGAAGTTGCCCGCCAGGGCTGCGGCGCGTGTCGAACACGTCGCAAAGAAGCGCACCGTCACCCCTCCCGAGCCCCGATCAGTCACGCCAGTCCCAGTACCAGTCGAAGAACCGCCACCGCCGCCCCCTTCGCTCCCAAAGTCCATTCAGGCCGGAAAGCCGCTTCCGACCGTCGAGGATGCCCAACCCGATGACCTCCCCGCGAAGGAGTATCAGTCATTTCAAGAGAGGTAAGACCGTATGCCCTGGGATCTAGCCGTCAGCTTGGCCACGGCTTGTGGATGCACATGACTGACATTTGGCCCATAGTGGTGTTCTTGCCGAATCGCTGAGCCGGTCGCGACATAAATGGCTGGCCGAGGGACTATTCGAGAAGTACTGGACGAAACCTGGACGAAAGAAAAACGCAACCGAAGACCCCAAGAATCCACCCAAAGATACCATGAGCAAGATTGGGCCCTGCACAATCACGATCGAGCCGCACGTTTTCGATGTTACGCTTTGGGCGATCAAGGACCCCAAACCTCCCGCACCCACCACGCAAGCTACCTTTCGGCCCATTTTGCAATATGGTCCTCCCAATGGAGCTATGCCCCCTCCACCTACTCCAGCAAATCCGAACCCAAGTCCTGCCCTCGCTCCCAACGACGCGAAGCCGACGCCTTCCGCCCAGAGTCCGGCTCCTCCGTCACCTGCTCCTCAGCAGCCACCGTCCAGGCCGCCCTCCTCAGCTGCGAACGAGCCACCCAAAGTGATGCCCTCGCCGCGCAATTTGGAGCCTATGCGGACTGCCAGTGCGACGCCGCCTCCGCCACGGCCGGTAGCTCCATTGGTCCCGGCGGTTGCGGCACCAGTTCCAGCAGCAGCGCCTGGGACGCCATCACATCCCGTTGCTCCTTTGGCTGCGGCACCTTCAGCACCAAACTCACGACCATCGAGCTCAACGCCGACACCAGCTCCGGGTGCCGCAAAACCGCCGGCGGCAAAACCACAAGGGACTGATCCCATTATTATGACGCTGGCCGAGAAGGCATCTGAGGACCCTCATCTACGAGACTTGATGAAACGGGTCGCCGCTGGTGAAGCAAAGCCGGATGAACTAAGCAACTTTCAAAAGATCATTGATCAAATCACGGCGGAGTATAAGAGGAAAGGGGGCCAACAGGGTCCTTCAGCGGATAGGCTATTGGTCGACGGGAGGACAGTCAAGTACTTTGCCGATGAGGTACGGACCATTCTGGATATCGTACTCGCTACGAATCCGAAGCAAAAGTCATCGGAACTTCTGCCTCCGCGTGGAAGTGACCCTTTGGTTGTGGCCTTGGTGAGGGCGGCTCTGGATGCGAAACCGTTGCAGAATATGATCCGACGGATAGCTGACAACAAACCTAACTTCACTGACACCACCGACCTCAAAGCGTCTCTCGACAAGTTGCACAAGGAGCTCAAGAGTGCGCAAAACACCCCTACGCCTCAAACCCCGACGACACAGGCTGCCATTAACGGCACCGCGAACGGGCATCCCGTCAAACCCGCGGCAGCTGCGCCTGCTGCTTCACCGGCTCCGACTCCAGCAGCCCCACAAATACAGCATCCCCCTCAGCAAGCCCTTCGGTCAAAGGGCCCTCCGCCACCTGCGAGGCCTGAGATCTCAGGCGTCTGCCTCGACTTTGCTGGTGGAAATGGCGATCGCTACCTGTTTCCAAAATACAGTATTCTCGAGTATCTGCCCGGCGGACAGCAGGCTATCGCCTCGTTCCTCATTGTTCGCAAGGGCAGCCAGCTAGAGTATGGAGGCGATGCCAAGCTCGATTACTACCAGCCTGTCACCGTTCGGCTGTACGCTCAATCAGCTCGTCACCTCGAGTACCTGCAGAGAGCAGTGGCGCCCCAGGAAGAAGTCATGAGGTACATGGACGATGTGATGGACAATATGACGAGGGCAGAATACGTCCTTCTCGCCATGCGCTTGCCACGTGGAGAGCAAGAACCCAACAGTGAGCAAAATGGCAAAGATACCCCGGGCCTGAGCGGCCAAATAGTGAGACCAGAGTCAACAGCGCCAGAGCACCCGGCTCCCAAGCAGCAGTCAGTGCAATGGGGACCTGTGACGTCCAAATTCGTTCGGAGTTTCAACAAGAAATGGTTTGAAGAGTGGAAGAGAACCGAAAAGACAGCGGGCAAAAAGCTCTCTTCGGCAGATGAGGTGTTCCAAGAGTCCTGCGAGGCCGTTGGCCGCGATCCTCTGGACAAGGACATAGAATACGAGAAGATGATTGAGCTCTTGGCGGCTAAGGACTCCGAGTCATCATCTTCTTGAACTCGACGCAGCTAGAAAGCGCACCATGTATTACCTAGACGACGCACCACAGCGAGCGACCGGCGGCCGGGGGCCTCGAGTGAGGAGAGTAGGTGTCGTACTGAGCATTTGGGTCAGGTCCGTTTGTTCGCGTTGCATAAGGCACGGGATGGCCTTCTTTCCTCACTTTCGTTGTTGCTACTTTGTTGTTCACGTTACCTACTGTACAGAGCAAAGGGTTGGGATCTGATTCTGTTTTTGATTGGGAAAAGGGGATCGGAGTCGTCTATCACAAGAAGAGAGTGCCTCTCCCCACATACTATTTTTCATCTTTATTCCAATTCGGTGTTTGAGAGTGTTGAAAGGCCTCGGGCGTGAGGCTGGGATGTGGTGTGGCTCGAATCATTTTTATTATTACCCCCAAAACCCCCGCTTCGATGGAGTCGTGGGACGGAGGAGAGAGGCGGTGGTCAGATAGGTACGCGAGCATTGGCATGCCTCACTGCTGCTTATCTGATCAGAAAATAAAGAATACAACAAGTACACATACTATTCTGGGCTCGTATTGATGATTGTTTTCGGTAGAGATATCCCCCAGCCTATCCACCCAGGCATTGTCCAGCCAGCCCTCAGGAATCGAGATGATGTGAATCCTGCCAAAGTGCTCCTGTCTGACGACCCCCAAAGAATGTTCAGACTTGATAACTATAACGCCAGTTGTCTAAGAAGGTAGTTGCCCCTGAACTGTAACCCATGGACTGAATCAAAACCAATTACACGTGGGCAATTATCTAGCACTGTTACTTCATCATGATCAACCCCTTTGCATGTATCCAGTTCATGGACAAAGTAGGATCCCTGAAGGTAAGTAGCTGGATGAGGTTCATTCCTGCGACACCTTACGCCCGAATCAAGAGAGTAACGGCTCACTCTGAAAGTGGAAATAGCAAGGGAGAAATGAAAGTTCATATGCAAACGCGTGAAGTAGCACTACAATTATATTAGAGATGAGGTAGTCCCTCTTCCAGAGGTCACAGTCATCTGCTTCCTTTCATGAGGATGCCACCACATATCTGAGCCGTGGAACCTAAAAAGGCCCCTCAGCTTTCCAACAGCTATCTCAGGGTCTACTTCACTACCGAGATGTTCAGCCTCAATCCAAACTGTTAAGGAACAATTGGTCCCTCGGACGACCATCCTATGCCACAAGATCCAGAGAGCTGAAAGCACACAATCGACGCGGAAAGTTTCTGCGATTCCATAGGATTCTCTCATTCAGACGATGATCTTTCCTCACCGCATCGGTGTTAGTGTGTTGTTTCTTTAATCAAGAACACGAATATTCCACTCGGAAGTCACCACGGCACCTCGAAAAGGCGCGAAGGCACGTTCATCTTAACCTGTCTCTCCATATCTCAAGCAACGTACCATGGACAACGAAGAGAATAACTACGCTCTAACGCCGGAAACGTGGTTTACCCCGCGGGAAAGAAACGTTAGTTCTGACGACGACAGGAAATATTGAAACTCACAGTCACGGGCCGTCAACATATGGCTGATGGCTTAGGAGAGGCGCTTGGTGTTTTGGACGACACATGCTTGACTTTGGACACTGAAAAGCCCTTTAGATTCGTATTTGATCGTTCTCTGTTCCTCAAAATGCCGCATTAGAGTAGGGCTGCTCAGGAAGAAGCGCCATCTCTCGAGTAGAGTTTCATCATCAGCGTCTCTCGGTAAACTGTCCCTCCAGGTCAACGCACAACCGGGCATCACCCACAATCCACTCCGGCCCGGAAATCAATCCACAAGACGACGTAGTCTGTAGATAATTCAAGACGTCCGTCCAATAGAGATGCCATGATGACCTATATAACAAACGATCCCCCTCACAATCCTCCTCTCCAACTCCCTCATCATCACACTCGTTTTCGTATCCTCATCCCAATCCTTCAAGATGAAGTCCCAACTCCTCCTCCCAGCAGCACTGCTGACCCTCACCCACGCCGCCACAATCCCAGAATCCGCAAAACCAATCATTGTCCCAGACTCAACCCTCGACGCCGCCATCCGCGAACCCCTCCAGAACTTCATCACCGGCCCCGTCCACGGCATAGACCCCTCCGCCTTCTTCCCCATCGCTACCCTCTCCGAGAACGACGAGTACAAGCTCGCCGCCGAGGGGGAGGTAGCCTGGGCCGCCATCGAACTCGAGGCCTCGGCCGCCCTCGCTGGTTCGGTTTCTGCTTCCGATGAGGGGGAGAACCTGCGTGATGCCGCGACTGTGGCGGTGAACTCCATCGCGAGGAGCGGTGTCGCTCCGCCTCCGCCGCCTCCTCATCCTCCTCACTCGGATCCCCCGCACCGGGAGCCCCATGGGCATCATGAGGGTATCACCAGAGAGCAGCTTTGTGAATACTACAAGGGGATTGCGTGGAAGACTGGGGACTTGCAGACTGCTGTGTATCAATGGCAGTATGAATACGTTCCTTGGCTGGTCCACAACAAGGGGCCTTACATCGTAAGTTTCCTTTCCGGCGTCCTTCATGTTACGACCTTGGCTACCTCCTCAACTCTCTCCCATTCCCTTAACCTCATTATATCCTGTCTAAAGAACTCACTTACCCCCATCCCAGGTTGTCCTAGACGGTCTCCGTCACATCGAATGGGTCCTCTGGAAGATCGAACAAGCCCTCGTCAACGCACACTTCCACTACGAAGATGAATTCGACATCCTCAAGTGCTACCAAGAGGTAAGCCACCCCTTTCCCCCTTCACAACACTTTACTTCATCACCAGTACTAACAAAACGCAGTTCTCCGGTCGCGAACTCCAAATCACCCACGTCCCAACAACAGCTCCCGCCCTGCCCACCCAAACAACAGCAAACATGACAATCGGCCTCCCAACAAACACAATGGCCCACCACCCCCGCGCCATCGACGAGCAGCTCGTCACCACCACAGTCACGATCCAACCCGCCGGACCCACCACGCCGCCGCCGCCACCACCAGGGCATCCAGAGGACAGACGACCCCAAGAGGCCGGCAACTCGTGGCCTCATCTCCCCTGGCGCCGCGACCACCCGTCTCTGAAGAAGCTTCTCCGCCTCATCACGGAAAAGGCCCCCGTGTCAAAGTACCAGTCGTACGCGAACCACCGGATTTATAATGTTTTGAAGCAGCTGGAGTATACCGCGTTGGTGAGTGAAGCTCCTATTCCAGTTTCTGCTTTGAGTTGTTGCTGCGAAGGATCTGTGAAACGACGGGGACACCGAGATGCTAACCACGTGTGCCATGATTACTAGGCCTCTGCCAATGCCCTGCGCAGCAAGTTAAGAGACCCTCACCACCAGTCTCTGCTCGACTATGATATCTGGAAGGGGCAGGGTATCAACCACGCCTTCGAGGTGGCTATCGCAGCGTATGAGGTCATATGAATGATGATTTAGACGCCGCTCGTCCGCTCCCTCGGGGATTGTCGTTTTGTCGCCGACAAGACGGCTTCACGGGCTTCGAGGGGACTCTTCAGGGGCGGTGGTGGTGTATGGTGGCCGAAGGCAACATAACGCTCAAGTATGGACAAGGCAGAAACTCAGTGGAAATTTTATACAATTGGAACGACTTATCATCAACAGGAATCATGAAGAACTGAAAAATCATCGTTGTCGGGGATGGTCTGTGGGAATCCTATGCTTTGTAAAATCAATAAACACCTAATCTAGAGCACCCCTGAAACCAATGACTTGTTGCTCTAGTAGTAGCAATGCTTCTGAACAGTGGGTGGGAGAACAACTCGTGCGGGAATCAAATCATGGAGCCACCACTCTGGTTGTTGCCCACGAGACCAGCCATTTCCAGTAACGCACGATCAGCCTCAATGTCACCAGAGCCCAAATTGATCTTCCGCCGAGCTTCCGCCTCACGATGCTCCCACGCCCAATGCTCCGCCTGCGCCTTGGCCTCCTCGTCCCCTCCGCAACCCCAGACTTCCAGGCTCTCAATCTCGAACCGATCTTGAAAGTCAAATTTGCGCGTGGTGCTCGTTTGGAATGCGCCGCCACCAGTGGTCCAGTCGTGTGTGAACACTCCAAACTCGAAAGAGTCGTCGAGAAGCAGAGATACGGCGCCGAGAGAGAGCATGGTCTGCCTCCGGTGAGCTTGCGTCTGTCGGGGATGGGGACATCCGATGCCAAGCATAGGTCGATTAGTAGGCGCCTTGGTGAAGGCGACGTAGTCCGAGTTGTATTTGGAAGCTGGGAACACATCATGGACGGGCTCCAGCTGAAAAAGCACTGTGTCTCGTTCGCCAAAGCATTCCTTGGCCGTGTGCTTCCATGGTTGACTAACATAAACCCCAAAGGTCAGGCGTTCTCCCTTGCCGCTGTTCGGGATGCGACGTGGAGGGATCGAGGCGGCAAAATTCGACTCCTGACTGCCGTGAGGCGTGTCATTCAGCCGAGTGCCGCGTACCAGAAGGATGGTGGGTGCTCGCCAATTGAAGACTTTGCTCTCGAAGCTTCCCGTGGAGAAGCCGTCTTCGTTACCGGAGTACAGAAGCCGTAGTCTTCTAAACAAATCGGATCCTGGGAGGAAGAAGGATAGTTGTGAGAGGACATTGAGGTTGAGAATTTCCGCAGTGTCCTGCAGCAAAGGTTGCACAACTTCGTCTGGCTGCTTTTCGGCCGCCACGGGGTCTTCACCCTTGTGTTTTGTGAAATCCAAGTTTTTGGAGAAGAGGAAGTGCTCAAATAGGGGGCTGAACCCATTGAATAGGTTCGGGAAGCAGACAGGGAGCACTCGGTTGAAGTGGCCAAACTTGATACCGGGGGCTTTTTCGACATTCAAGAACGCAGCCAGGATGTTCTCTGCGGTAGCGCGCAGGCTTTCCAGTTCGTCGCCTGTGACCCGCGTGGAGTACATTGACAGACTCTCTTGAGGACTCAGCGGTGCAATCAGGATCAGTAGCATCAGCAGCTTGCGGAAGTTATCCGCGGGTATCATGGCCCCTTGCATCTTTGGCGCATCGCCCTGCCACACGGCATCGTGGATATCGAGAAGCTCGAATGCGGCAATCTCAAGATCGTCGTCGTCTTCCTCGGGGCCGTCCACAGGTTCGTCGACTGCGAAGCCAGCCGCGTGGCTTGCTGCCTGGGGTTCATTCGGCGGCACCTCTTTGGAGTCCCCGGCGGTAGCAGCAACAGCTTCAGATGCCCTTCGATCGTGCACTGCGAGACTTTTGAAGAGGAGCTTGGCCCTATCCGTAGCTCCCTTGGCAAGAACCCGCTTGTGTCTTTGCGTCATGATAACAATGACCATGATCATCTGATCGATCCCGAGAACCGCCGGAGCATCCTGCAAGAAGGGGAAGGCGCCGATGTAGGACACCATCTGAAATATTACAGGCGAGACGTGGAGGATATCGGGTATTTCGAGGAATCGGGCGAGGGTGTCTTCCTTCAAGTAGCGAATATCGCCTTGGTTATCTGCCAAGCTTTTGAAGACATCTTTGAACGAGTAGAGCTCGAGGGAGGTGAAGCACTTTTCGGCAAATCGAGTGGCCTGACGAAGGTGATAGTAAGCATCAAGTACAATCAAGATATTGGAGTGATCTTAATCCAAGGAAGAAGGGTGAAGTGTAGTGTTTTGGTGGGCGCTGCATCGGGCGGCTTACGAGTTCACGGGTGAGCTCCTCGTGTGTCGCCTGCCGCGAGTTCTCGTCAGACAGGGCTTGTCCCATGATGAGCTTTGTGTTTCGGTTCAAGAGGCATCGAAGTCAGGGGCTAGAGTTGTACTATTGGCTGTGGCACAATCATCACCAGCCATGGCCATATCGAAGTAGTGGGAGGGAAGAGAGAGGGAGAAGGAGGAGGAGCATGGATGGGAAGGTTGATGACGGAAGGCCCAAAGTCTGGGGTGCATCCTCCATCAGGAGACAAAGCGACGGACGGCATTAGCACAGCTCAGCGCCTACCTAGACTTTCAGCGGGTGTCAGACCAGTGCGGGTCTCCCGTCGTCCCCCAGCAGTGGAGGAACCCCGCTAACGTCACTGTCACTGGCCCGAGCTCCCTGCCCCTCCATGCGAGTTTTAGTCATCAGATGCTGCACACCTCCCACCTCATTGACTTATACTTGTGGATGCCTTCTCTCTCACCTTGGCATATGAATAGTATCAGTCGATGAACATCAGAGGAAGGACGAACCTTAGAGGGGAAGGAGAAAACCGAAACTCGGTCACAGGCTGCATTCAAGATCAGTGTATAACTATCTTCAGCTGTTGTGCAATCCTGTCTCAATTGATAAGAGAATTGGAAACAGAGTGCCACATGTACTCTTGGAGTAGAAGATATTGACGAATTCACAAACTTCAAAAGTACTCAGCGATTAAATGAATATTCCTACACCCAGTCCAAGTAGATTTTCCCTAGTGCACATATTCAACCTTGTCTCCGCAGCTCGAGTTCGATCCCGTGGCGCCGGCGGCCATGCACCGCTGCCTGATATCGCAATTTTCTAACGCACTATAGAGGAAAAATAGTTCTTGTAGTAGTAGCACTCCTCGAATGTGACGCCAAATTCCATCCTCAACTCCAGGTTGCCGGGGCATATGATGTTGGTGGCCAAGTCATTAGGCATGCCATTATCATCGTAGCAATGACAGAACTTGTAGTTGGCACACTCTTTCCATGGGAGCGATGCCAAAGTAGCGGCGAAGCGGCGAAGATGGTAGTAGCCTTCATGCTGCAAAAGCTGATTCAGGGCTTTTGCTCTGGGAATCAAGTTCTGGGGAGTCACTCACTTGACAGCAAGTTGCAAGGCTGCGGGGATGGTGCTATTGCCAATTGAAGAGGGGGTGCTTCTCTGATAGAAGAGGTGTCAGATCATCTTAAGTAGTGATGCCTCCCAAATACAATGAGCATATTCCTTGTTTCACCAACTTTTTGCCGTAGTACATTGTGATCATCCAAGCTGGCGAGTGCCGCAACAGACGTCTAAATAACACGGCAAAGTTTATCAGAGTCTGGTCCTTTGAAGAAAATGCTGATCTTTGGTCTAGGTATTCCAGTCTCCAGGACCATCCACAACTACACAGTGTCATGCAACGATTTACCCGCATAAACAGCAAACACATAACATTGGGCTGTAATTCCAAAGCTAGGCGAGCTAGGTTCCGTTGCTTCTGCCTCACAGCCATGCCATTCACACCAGGTCGGTGCTGAGGCCGTAGTGGAGCTTGCACGGAATCAACCAAAACCCCGCCAGAATGCCCCATAACAGCCAGTCAACTGCAGCGTGAGTGCTAATGTATGCCGCTCATTTCTGAGAATAGGTATACGAGGATTGGCCTGCCAAGTGACAGGTCAGCCTCGCCAAGGCTGATCTCATCTCCTGCCTCTGTCAAGACGTTGGCCTCTGTCAAGATATTAGATAATCATTCAATTCAACCCAGATGCGCCGCCGGCTGCCCCCGGTTTTATATACGACGGAGCGGAGTCTTCAATGAGACAATATGCCCGTCCTAAGCGTCGATGCCAATGCCAGTACTGTACAATGTAGCCGTGATGTGATACAAATCAGAGTGTCGATCTTGCCCCTGTTCATCCTTATTTCTTGGGCTCTTCTGATGACCCATTCGATGACGACGGCTTTCTGCCGTAAATCTCGCCAATGGCTCCAAGCGAGCTCTTAGGGTTCTCCTTCTTCTGCGGCTTCTCCTCAACCAGCTTCTCAGCCGCAGCAGCATCGCCCTCCTCAGGCTTCTTCCACGCCGACAAGCCGAGCGCGCCGAGCACGCCCCCGGTCTTGCCCTGCTCTCCCTCAGCCGGCGTATCTTCACCGGCGTTCTTGGCGTCGAGCCTCGCCCTCCTCTGCAGCATCCTCGCCTTGAGCGCCTTCTCCTCCTCGTCGCGGGCCTCGAGCTCGCGGATCCAGCGCTGGCGCTGCTCCTCGGCGTCCTTGGCCTCCTTGATCTTGCGCAGCTCGGCGGTGCGTTCGCGGTCCTTGTTGTAGTATATGCTACCGGCGAGCATGGCGAATACGGTGAAGCCCTGGGCGGCGACACGGGCGCGGAACATCTTGTTGGCTTGTCTGGCGTCGCCGCGGCGGGTGGCGCGCCAGGCGTTGACGAAGGCGAAGACGGTCAGACCACATCCTGTGGTTGCGACGCTGGTCAGAAATGTTCGACGCAGCAGGTTTCTGGGGGAGAGGGGGGTAGTGGTGAAAGCAATTGCTTACCAAGGGGAATCAGAGGCTCCTCCTTGAGCTTGCGGAAGGCCTTGTGAAGAACGCGCTCATCGTAGAATTCGCTGCGGGTCGCGTGCGTGGGTTAGCAAACCTCCAATCCCTGGACTTTTGATGATGTGCAAGCTCCCGCAGAGCCCGAGAGTGGCGGGTGGGCTGGCTTACTTGTTCTCGTCAAAAGACGATGGCATAGGCTGATCGAGCAACGAGGGTCTTCCGTCTGGGCCGGGCATTTTGGCGGTTTGCAATTGGTGTTGTGGTGGTTGAAGAAGTCGCAATCGTGGAGATGGGAATTAGTCGTGCGATTGTTCCCCCAAAGTGCAGTGGTCGGCGAATTCGATGATGAAATGGACTCCGAGACCCTCCTAGCTTTCGGGGACTGGCTGCGCGGTGCCCAGAGCTTCGACCCTTGAGCAGATTTGCGGCAAATCCCGGCCAGCGCCGTGTGGCTTAATTTGCTTTCACACTCCAGCCACATTTTGTGCAGCTCGGATTCTTACCTTATCAAAAGGTGTCTTATCGAAGTGTTATCGGATAAGATAATGTGACGCACAGTCCATGCCCGATAAGATACCCCGGTCTGCAGTGTCAGCGATGTCGCCCTCACCTCCCAGTGTGACGGACACTGACAGCAGGGGGAGCGCGACGCCCTTGCTGACGCTACAGCAGGTACAAGGGTGCGTTAACCAATCCCCAGCGCCAGAGAAGCTGCTGACAGGGCGTGGACGGCAGCGCTGGCCAACACACCGCAAGAAAAACCGTCTGATGTTCTACCCCGCGAGCCCGACTTGCGCTCCGATATCTGCCCCACTATGAACAAATTTCCAGTTTAATTCAGGCCGGTCTGATCCCGTTCATTAGGTTGTTGGGGCCCGCCGTTCGTGACTCTTTCTTGGACGATTCCTCTGCTTCTGTCCCGGTCTCAGTGACTCCTCTTCTTCTCACAAACAACTATCCCAAGACATCACGACAATGTCAGAGAACGCAGAGCCTCCCGTCGTCGCCGTCATGACCAACGGAACCCTCAATGGCGTCAATGGCGACCACCCGCCGCGCCCAAGAACACCGCAGCCCGCCGGAATGTCCTTGACCGAGTATAGCGCCAACCCGTCTACGCCGCCAGAGGAGAGAAGAAGCCGCATCAAGGGCGTTGTTCCCGAGGACTTTTTGCTGCCTGATGGCCACCCGGATGTGAGAATAATCCCCAATGGCATTGCCAATGGCTCAATTGAGACCTCAGCTAAACTTTTTGTGCGCCTCTAGTACCTCCGAATGATCGCCGCCGCAACGTCCCGCGTCTACGAAGCCTGCAAGGTCACACCGCTCCAGCCCGCCGTCAATCTCAGCAACCGACTCGAGTGCAATGTTCTCCTCAAGCGCGAGGACCAGCAGCCCGTCTTCAGCTTCAAGCTGCGCGGCGCCTACAACAAGATGGCCCACCTCGACCCCGCCGTCAGCTGGAAGGGCGTCGTCTGCTGCTCCGCCGGTAACCACGCTCAGGGCGTCGCCTACTCGGCCCGCAAGCTCAAGATCCCCGCCACTATTGTCATGCCCGAAGCAACACCTAGCATCAAGCATCTCAATGTTGCGCGTCTAGGCGGCCATGTCGTCTTGCACGGTGCCGATTTCGATGCCGCCAAGGAGGAGTGTGGCCGGAGAGCGGCGCAGGACGGCCTGATCAACATCCCGCCGTTTGACGACCCGTACGTCATTGCGGGCCAGGGAACCATTGGTATGGAGTTGTTTGGCCAGATCAACATGTCCAAGCTCGATGCCATCTTCTGCTGTGTCGGAGGTGGTGGACTCATCTCCGGAATCGGTGTCTACGTGAAGCGCATGGCGCCCCATGTCAAGATCATTGGTGTCGAGACCTACGACGCCAATGCGCTGGTCCAGTCCCTGGCCAAGGGAGAGCGTGTGGTACTGGACAGCGTCGGCCTCTTTGCGGACGGTGCCGCCGTCAAGACCGTCGGCGAGGAGACGTTCCGCCTTTGCAAGGACGTCGTTGACGAGGTCATCCAAGTCACCACCGACGAGGTCTGCGCGGCCATCAAGGACATGTACGACGATACCCGCGCCGGCCTCGAGCCCGCCGGTGCTCTCTCCATCGCCGGTCTCAAGAAGTACGTCGCTCAGAACCCGAGCGATCGCCGCAAGACCATGGTGGCCGTCACCTCTGGCGCCAATATGAACTTTGACAGGCTGCGATTCGTCGCTGAGCGCGCCACCCTCGGCGAGGGCAAGGAGGCCCTGCTGGCGGTCAGCATCCCTGAGAAGCCCGGTGCCTTCTCCAACCTCATCACCAGCATCATGCCCCACTCCGTGACCGAGTTCTCATACCGCTACGCCACTGACGAAGTCGCCAACGTTCTTATTGGTATCTCCCTGACAGCCCCTGCATCGCAAAGAACGCAGGAGCTGCAGATGCTCTTGGAGCGCATTAGGTCGCACGACATGTCAGTGACGGATCTCTCCGGCGACGAGCTCGCCAAGAGCCATATCCGGTACCTCGTTGGTGGTCGCTCCAACGTGCCCAATGAGCGCCTGTACATGTTCAACTTCCCTGAGCGGCCCGGCGCTTTGGAGAAATTCCTCATGACCCTGCGTCCCAAGTTCAACATTAGTCTGTTCAACTACCGTAACTACGGCGGTGACACGGGTAGAATCTTGGCGGGCATCCTGTGCCCCGACAACGAGGTTGATCAATTGGAGACGTTCTTGACTGAGATTGGATACCCGTGGGAGGACTGCACCCAGTCGGCCGTTTTCAAGACTTTCCTCCGTAGTTAGAGAATGGAGGCTTGAAAACCCCGTTTACTCGGTTGATTTTCGTACGGCGCTGGGAGTTTTTGTAGATATTTGGGTGACAGAAAACGGAACATTGGGAGATATCACGCATGCTGGTGCAACTTGGGGCAAAAGAAAAGCCGGCTCTTGTAGATAGACTATTCAAACTCAATTGAGGATATTTACATGACCTATTTTGTTTGCTTGCATGTCAACTGTACTTCGCTGCGCGCAACTTTCAAAATAATGTCATCCCATCGTCGGTACCTTTTCATCCGATACCGCAGCTGGCCGATAAGAGATATCGTCCCGATAAGCGCACGGACATTACCACCACGTGATGGCCGCCAAGCCGTCGAAAATGCTCCAACTGAGGCCATCCAGGCCCCCTTCACCACCAGAGCAGTCGGCATCGCGAAGCTCCACGCCTTACCACGAAGAACGGCTCCCGTAGCTCCGGAAAGCTGTCAATTTACGAACCTCGTGCTCTAGCACCCATCAGACCTCTTGCTCACCAGAAGCCAAGCTCCCGACTCTCACCGTGCCCGACCTTTCCTCTCACAATCCACCCGACGAAACATCGACTAGGAAAAACGAGAAAAGACTACACAATGGCTTCCTCCCTCGCCGCCTCCCTCAGGGCCCTGACTCTCAGCACCGCACGCGCAACGATCTCCCGCGCCGCCAGCTCCGCTGCGACAGCCACGGCGACGCGCGCCCTCTCGACGGCGATCCTGACGAAGCAACCGGCGCAAAAGAGCGAGTCGATGCTCGCGCAGGTCGGAAAGAGCGCCTCTGGCGTGGTGAATGCCGTGGTGCAGCAGACGAGAGGGATGAAGGTGCACAGCTCCGTTAAGAAGAGGTGTGAGCACTGCAAGGTGAGCCTATGCCTTTTCAATGTTTTATGGGGGAGGCTGTTGGGGGATGGGCTAGGTTGATTCGGGGAGGTGGAATTGAGGATATCCGGGTGGACGAGGAGAGAGGGATTCGAATTGTGAAGCTGAGGTTTGATATGGGCATTTTGCTAACTTAATGCGCTGCAGATTGTTAGACGCAAGGCGGGCAAGAGACATAACGGATACTTGTACGTCATCTGCAAGGCGAACCCCAGACACAAGCAACGCCAATCTTGAGAGATTCTTCGGTTCTGGGTTTAGAGAGGGAGACTATCAACGAAGTCGTGTGTATGAAAAACCTTGTACCATACAGAGGGGAGGGACGGAGGGAAGCTCAGAGACATGGGGCATCGGGTGAGCGACAGCGCGTGAGGATGTTGCAACTGTAGACAAGTTTTGAGAGACGACCAAGGGATTGATACCATTGTCCCACTGGAGTTTTTAGAAAGATCCCCCTCCATCACTGGGCACCTTGCAAGCTATAGAAGCAAATGGCAGCGAGGGTGAGACCTTTTGTGGTGTGTATCATACAAAGATTCTTTTCACTGATTTTACAATGATGAGAAGTTTACATCCCGTCGACGTAACGTTCCATGCCCTGCCACTCCGTCTTGCCTGTTGAGATGAGATAGCGGATGTGTCCCTGGGGCATAGAATTGTCAGTCCTGTGAAAAGGAGAGATAAGGGGGCAGGGGAGGTGGAAGCTCACGAGATCTGTCACATCTCGGTGACGTTCGAACTCATCGCGAGCATACCGTCTTGACTCGGCGCGGGTGTTTGGGTCGGCGATGCGGCGTGTGCCGCGGATGATCTCGCGGTAGAGGGATATGACGCGGGATCTCTGGAGGAACTATAGAAAGTGTGAGCATGTACTTATACATTTATCCACAGTCATTCATTGAAGGTTTTGGACGCTTTTCTCATATGAACAGCTGCAAAAGTGACATAGAGAGTGTGTGATGGTAATGGTTCTTACATGATCCAGGCTTAAGGCCTTCTTCCCGAGCCGCGACCTGGCTGGCCGCGTAGAGTAGCTGCGGACAATTGACCACAGGGGAGTTTTGAAGGGCATTAGGGCCAAGTAATGGGAGAACCCGACTACATCTGCAAGTTGGGTGTGAGATTGAATGAGTTTCGTTTCACTGAGACGTCGATGTTTCTCACTCACCTATATCAAATGAGACTGCTGCGCTTTCATGCTTTCAAAGCCAATTGGTGCTCTGGGCTGAGTGTGGAAACTTTTTGGAGTGGATGAGGTCAGGACGGGGAAACTTCGGAACTTGAAGCCAGTGCTCAGCAAAGGGTCTCGGTGACGGGAGACAGAGGTCTGTGGAATTGGGCTGTCACCTTACACCGAGTTCTCATCCCCCAAATTAGCAGTAAAAGACTGCATATCTTGTCTTTTCCTTCGTTCTCGCTTCGCTTGAACTTGTAGGTACGCCACGAGACGTTCGTATTTTCCCCTTCTACAACCGAAAGATGGCACCACCCCGCAAGCGCCGTAGGGCCCCAACCAACCCCATCGAGGCAGCGAACCGCAAATCCGACGCCGACTTTATCAGGGACCATCTCCAGCCCAGGTTCGTCTCACATCCACGCAGGCGTATCTCAAGATAGCTCCAAACCTCTCACGGGCGTTCACATCTCACACCACGATGCCAGCCCCGAGTGGACGAATTGGACGCACCCCAAGAGCGGCACATCGTACACCCTCTCAATCAAGTCCCCGGCGCAGCTCGCACAGAGTGAGCTGAAAGCGTGCTTCGATCTCATCGACTACACCAGTGGAGCCGATTACCGCGCTTCAAAAGATGGGTGGCGGCCGGCGCATAAGATGAGGGAGATGAAGAGCGACGGGTTGCGATATATCCTCGTCAAAAAGTCGGGTTCACCATCGCCCGATGCAGCTACTGCTGGTAAAGACGAGAGTGAGGTGTGTGGAAATGCTGCGGAGGACAAGATTTGTGGGTTCACGAGTCTTATGCCTACCTTTGAAGAGGGTGAGGCTGTGGTATACTGCTATGAGATCCACCTCCTGGAGGAATTACGAGGGTGAGTTTTAGAACGTTTCCTACGTGTTTTCTTGCTCGAAAGATGAGCCCGGATGAGGATATCCCGCAGCGGGGAACGGCAGCCGAGGGGCTCAGCTCAGTGCGCTGTCAGCACCATCCCGGAGGAGGATCCGGATCTCACGCCGGCAGCGCACACTTCCAACTGCCAATGCCGCGAAGAGAAGCTAACTAGAATACGATACAGCACGGGCGTGGGCCGTACACTTATGGATTACCTCGTAAAAGTGGCAGAGAGCATTCCGATAATTGAAAAGGTGATGTTGACCTGCTTCATCGCCAACGCGGATGCGCGCGCATTCTACGAGAAGCTTGGCTTTGAGATCGATGCGCTGTCGCCCGTGGAGAGAAAGCTGAGATTCGGAAAGGTGTTTGTGCCGGATTATGTCATTATGAGCAAGAGGGTTCGTGATAAGAGGAAGGGTGAGGGGAAGGAAGTTCTGGATGAGGCTGGTGCGGTGAATGAAGAGGCGTGATGTGTATCTTGAGTCAATACGCCGGAGATTGCTCCGACATCCAGTGCCAAGGCACCTTCGGTGATGGACTCCGTATTGCAAAAAGAGTGCCGGCGTAGAGCGAACCCAATCTAGATTCCAAAGTACTAGACGGCATCGAGCACTACACGATGGAGAGATACTCTATCGTCGCGTATCACTAATTGCCCACTTTGACAAGCAGTGTACCAGATGATCTAGCAGGCAGTGAAGCAAGTCAGGTTGGGGCAATTTCAAACCATGAATAGAAGCTGAAGCCCGCTTGACAAAGCCTCATCGGAAGTCTCACTCCTTTCCTTGGGACCCTTCAAAATGGTAAGATGAGATGGAATGACAGGGGTCAGACAGTGTAACCACAGGAACTTGCAAGGGACTTTGAAAGGGGACCGCTGCAGGGACAGCCTGGAAATTCCAACCTAAAATCGGGGGACCGTTTCCACCCATTCGTCGGAATCGTCGCAGCTATTGGATTCGAGTGCAGCGAGCTGAGCTGAGCTGAGCCTTGAACAACTCACTCTCGCTTCTGCTCAAGTTCTCACGCACCTTTCTCCACGACTCATGTTTGAACACCACGGTCAGGATCAACTCAATCCTATGTCTGCCTACGTTAGCTGTGCCGATCATCGTTGGCCCCGTCCTTGGATCACCCAGAGCCCGTTCACTGGGAACACGACGGAGTGAGGCCCGGCCCACACCACACCCGGCAGGCATTTCTTCCCAACTTGGAGGGAGGAAGCGAAGCGTTTAGACCACAGGCACTGCGATCAATGGTACCGTCTCTCATCTTGCACACTTTCTCACCACGTGCCAGCAGTCAGCGGCTCCCAATCTCACTGTCATAGGAAAACACACCTACACGAAAGAAAGTGAACTTGATGCCCCTTACATGGAGAGGAAATGTCACGCACAGCCCTCAATCTGCCTCGCGAAATCCCCCTTGCCAGCCAAGCTCAGCCCTAGGACGCCAATCCAACATCGTCGGGCCTAGCGTCCCCGCCCTGATGCATGAGCCGGTTGCTGCCTCTGTTAACAAAGTCTCCAATCACCGCTCCGACCAGCAAGCCACAGGGGGGGGAAACGGGAGGTCGAGGACGAAGGGCCCGCCGACTCGCCGAGTATGTAATGAATTTACGGATCATGGTCTGACATTTTCTTCTTACGCCGGCGCTGATCGGCTACAAAGTTCTTGCTATGGCTCGGACGCACAGGATTCAGGCAGCCGACAGGTGAGTGAAGGAGTTGTGGGGATGTTCATCTCTCCGCCCAAAATGCTACCAAGGCTACGAACTCCATGGGCCTGCCGGACTCCAGAGGAATGGTTAGAGAACCGGAGAAAAGTGCTTGACGTGAGCAAAGCCTCATTCCCCCAAGCGAGAAGCACGTCCCTGTCTCAGAGTCATCAAAAACGCCTAGGTATTGGCGTTGTATAGCAGCAGCCTACACTAGCGCGTGTGGACTGGGGACGAGGTAATTTGTGGTGAAGCTTGTTTTTATTCCCATATTTTCAGCTACCAGAGAATGGTTGGTACTGTTCTTGTGTGACCACTGGTGACTTAAGCTACTTGGGCACCACCCGTTAAGCCAAATGCGGCCACTTTCGAGATGTGATCGGCCGTCTGCATTCGTCCAGCCCGTATTAAGTCCTTCAGCCGTCAGCCCGTTAGTCGAAGCGTTGCTCGTGTCTTGTCTTACATGAACATCACACGCTGTATATCAGACCACGGAATCCCTCACCCTCGCTCTTTGGCTTCTCGACGCTCTCTTCGACCTTTCTCTGTTTCTGGAACCCCTGTCCTCCAACGGCCACCTTCAGCACCAATTAGCACCAGTATCAAGCACCGCAACCTGTCAACATGGACTACTCACAGCAACCCAAAGCGGAGTACCAGCAGCCCCAGATGCAGCCCCAGATGCAGCCTCAAATGCAACCGCAGCAGCAACAGCAGCAGTACTACGAGCAACAACAACCTCAACAGCAGCAGCTCCAGCACCAGCCCCATCCCCAGCACCAGCAGACAATGCAGCAAGAATACGTTCAAGGCGCCAACGTCCAGACCCAAGAATGGCAGTCAAGCCTGATGGACTGCGGTCCTTGTGATACCTGTATCGTGGGAACCTGTCTCCCGTGCTTGCGTAAGTCCTCCCCTCCACAATCTAAATCTAAGAGCCTCAACTAATACGCATCACCCAACAGTCCTCGGCAAGACCTCAGAGCGCATGCGCGACCCCACGATGCAGACGTACGAGGCCATCAACACAGACTGCCTGCTCATGTGCGGCATCACCTGGTTCACCGGATGCGGCTGGATCTACGCCATGATGAAGCGCGGCGAGATCCGCGAGCGCTTCGGCATCAAGGGCTCTGGCGGCTCCGACTGCTGCGTGAGCTACTGGTGCGGGTGCTGCGCGCTCATCCAGCAGGATAAGGAGGTGCAGGCACGTCTGTCGACGGGGCCTATTGTCCAGGGGTACCAGCCGCAGAAGGAGGGCATGCACATGCCGCCACAGCAAGCTTGAGCAACGGCTCTGTGATGCTGGTTGTGAATGGGAAGGTGATGAGGGCCGGTGAGGCAACGGTGTGGCTTTTGTTTTGGTAATGACGGATATTGGTTATGGTATACCCGTGGGAATTGAAGGCAACGGCATGGCCGACTCGGGTTGATGCAATTGTCATTCGACTGATAGTCTCGAGCACAAGGGCCTGGTAATATTTCTTGCTAATAATTGAGCTGGCCGAGCTTGATCAATTATGTTCATCTTTCATCTGATGCTTCTCGCCAAATCACTTACTTCAGTGAATCACTGGAGTCATGACTGCTTGAAGCCCTTTTCGATCGAGCTCGCCTTGAACGGTGAATCATACCACACTTGCCCACGACTACAAAAGGTTGTCGCGAGATGCTCCTCTTTTCCCTTTGATTTCTCATCACTACCCCTCGCCAATGCCAAATTGACCTCTTCCTCGAATCATCTTTTCGCTAATATGGCCGCGATTGTATCCCAGCATGTCGTTGCGCCGGCGGAAGAGATATGTGGTTGGATACCGCTCTCGACGAACACTCTCGGGTAAAGCATCCCTTCCCCCAAGTGGCTCGTTCTGACGCCATACAAGTAAGCAAGACGGACGGACGACATGAGCTAACAGGTCCACAGATTCTTGCAAGAGCCCATCCCATATGCTTGTATCAATCCACCCGCGGACTGTATCTCCTCCGGGTCCTACATGGGCTGCGGCAGCCCCATACCCACGACCTGCGTGCAGACAGCGAAAGCCCCGAGGGCATGTGAGCCCGGACAGCTCTGCTGGTAAGTCGATTTTATATAGGATTTCCAACTGAGCTTCCTTCGAAGCCACTAACAACGGACAGTGGGCCATATCCTAATACGGACTGCTGGACTTGGCGTTCGATTGACAAGACTGCAACTTACACACTCCTACAATGCAGCTCCGTCTCCGGTGTCGGGACTCTGATGGCAGAATCCTTCATACCAGGGGCCACAGTGACAGCCACCACGAAAGATGGTTCACCTAGACCCAGTGGCGACGCCAAGACCACCAGAACGGCCGAAGTATCACAACCCACAGCTGGAGTCACCATCGCCACAAAGACGAGTCTTTTGCTTCCTGGAATCCCTTCGGAAACATCCGGTCCCTCTGGCGAAGCCTCGCCCGGTGCGATTACAGGGGCCATCGTCGGAGCACTTGCCTTTCTTGGCATCTTGCTGGGTGTGACGGTGTTCATCTGGAATCGAGCCAGGAAGAAGAAACGTCTGGCTCATGAGGCTGCGATTGGAGGGCCCGTGACGCCCATGAGAAAGAGGGATAGTATGATACCGTTCCATGCGGGGGCCATCAATGTTCCTGTGTCGTCTGTTTATGATTACGGCGGCCCGTCGAAGAGCGTATCAAGAGGTGATTCTGGTGTTCTGGAAGGGGCGAATAGGCCTCCTCCTCGACCACCTAGAAGTCCGGCTAGGGATATGAATGTTACCGAGGGGGGTTGGATCTAGTGAACGGGAAGACGGGAAGGGCTTTGACGGTTGATCGCCTTGGATTACTGAGTTTTTCATGCCAAAGGGTTTGCCCTCAAATTCTCAGGAGCTCGCATAGCCTTAGATACTCCTCATGATAGCCCATGGCTTATACATGAAAGAAGCTAGAGCTGTCTCTGCCAAGACGCTAGGTTACTTCAATGATACGATTTGAACCAAATGTCCAAGAAGGATGGGATAATCTCTTTCCGTAATAAAATCCTTCCAACCCCAGAGACATAGCTTAAGCTTTAGACTCAACCTGTCTCAGTAGAGATCAACAGTTATTGGCGGGCCGATGGGATGCTCGAGTGCGAGGAAGTGCGAGCCAAGCCATTCGAGCCCGGCAGAATGTCGATGCCTAGAGCAGGAACAAGGTAATAGGATTGCGGGCCGCCGCGCGAGTCTCCACATCTAACCCGCAGAGAGATTGATAACTCTAAATGCTCGCATCAGCCTCCTTGGGAGGTTATCCACACTTGTAAGCGCTACGCTGCTTCGAGAGAATGAGCGAGGCGATGTCTAAGCTCCTTCCATCATGAGATTGGTGAAGTCGGATCGAGGCTTCAATTCTCTCAATCAGCCTCGGATAATCTGTTAATCGGCTTTAGAGAAAATGATTGGCTACAATGCGGACCTTGACAGTCATCGACTGTCTGGAGGACAGTATAAAAGGCAGGTGTCTTCGCGATATTGAAGGAACTCGATTGCAACATCAACAACTCCAATTACAACATCATCACATTCAAACATACCCGTAGCCATCCATCTACATCAACTCTTTCCTCACCAACCCCCTAATCATCCTTCACAATGCAGTTCTCAAAGACCATCCTCCTCATCGCCGCAGCCATCGTCCCTGCCGTCATGGCCGGATGCAGTGGTGCTGCCCCTTACCAAGGAACTTGCGCGAAGTGCGCTGGCGAATGCCACAAAAGTAAATAGCATCATCAAGTTGCTGGAAGACTCCCACCAAGCGATCAAATTCCAAGGCGCTGACTCAAAGTTCCTCTAAGACTTTGGCGGACCTGACCGCTTGTCTTCCCTCCAGCGCGCTGGCTGCCAGACCAACTGCCTGTTGCACTGCAACGACTGCAACTAGATGGAATGGCTTCTTCCTTGGACTCCGATGGAGCGCAACCTCCAGGAGGTCAAATGTCACATAGCAGAATACTTATTATATTAGGAGAAAGAGTCATGGTTTAGGCGACTCTGTCGATAGTCACATGTAGCTCACCAAGAGTTCGCAATTAAATAAGAACAATTACATAAATTGCTCAAAACTGCGCCATCTCAGCCGCGGAAGAATGCTGTCCAGTGATTGAACTGCCTTTCTTGTCCCCAGGCACGTAAGCACATAGCATGATCTATTGTCACTCGATACAACTCCTTCGATTCGGAGATACGTATTTCCAATTAGAAGACCTATATACTGACGACCCCATATGAGCCTCCCCTGAATCGCATTTCAAAAGGCCCAAGGAGAAAACTTGGATATGAGAATCGAATTCCTAAAACCTGCGATTCCTGTTTCTATATTCACATAAAATCGAGATTAGAAACGTACCACGTCTAGAAGCGATCCGAGTTCCTTATTGAAAAGCAACAAACTGGGATACAATAAACTTGTTGCACTGGAACTGCAGAAACTAGCAGAAATTTCACATAAAGAATATGATGGACTGAATGCTAGTAAGAGTCACTGAGAGAGTCATGTTGACAAGTGAGTGAAGCATTCGTGTGGTATGTGGAGCCAGCTGATTTCCAGTTTGAGTGTCCTTCCGGCGGAGTCATGTAATCACATTGTTGACAGTGATATAGACTCGACAAATCAGATATTTAGCTTTTTGCATCCTGAGAGTGGCCCATAGATTTCACAAAAGAAAAGGACAGACGCCAAAAGTACATCAGAGCAATGTTGGCACATTTTTTCTTCAGATCACACCTCCGAAACGTTTTGAACAAATCTGACAACATGCATTCTAAAGTCTTCATTATCTCCCTCCTAGTAGCCGTGGCTTCTGCCACAATCACTTGCTCAGGCGACAATGCCCCGTCTGGGGTACGTACAGGATGGTTGACACGTTGTATGTTGCTGTTGAACTTATACTGACATGAACGTTCACTGCAGCCCAAGACGTGCGTATACGACTCTCAGAAGAACGCCTACGCCAAGTTCTGTAGTGTACGTTCCCGTCGTAATCACATACAAGTCTTGACAGAGGCACTGACGTTTTGAATAGTCTGATTACAATGGGTCATTGTCGTTTGTGTGCTTGCAGTAAGTTGTCAAACTCCTTCTACCTGGCTTTCATTTCCTAACAGTGTCAGAACCAAAGATGGACAGGGAAACAACTTCGACTGCTGGTGCTACCCTCGGGTTTAAGGACTTGGCGTAAGATCGGCATCTGTCTGGTGATATAGATCTTCAGTCAATAGAAGTTGGGTTCGTTTTCTCATGTTGCAGCTGCTATAGTCTGGACTAAGCGGGTGTTATTGATACTACTGTTGTGCAGAGGAATGCAGGTTCGATACAACGCTTGACATCATTGCGATTTTCAACGTCCAAGGACACTCCTCAGCATCACGAGTTAATTGGCGGTGTGAGCAAATAAATGATGGGATAGTGCTCCAATTCTTGAGGTAGCGGCTCAAGTCCTAAGTTTTACCGTTCATAATTGTCGGATGACAACGACACGTATGAGAAGATGGAGCTCGATCAACAACAATCGCCCTCGGATAAAGATCAAGTTGGTAAGGTTGTGCTAAAGCTATTGGTTGGAAGTTAAAATGGCTTCAGACTTCTAGAGTAGGAATTCCTGCCCCAAATTGAGCAATTATATGCGCACGCGGCACTTCATCCTTCCGATAGCCCGATTACTCAGAGAACAGAGATGGGCTTGGATTTTAGCCGGAATACCCAGCAAAAGTACAAGCTTTCTTGATTACCGAACTAAGCCGGGGAGAACGGGAAAGCCTATAAGAAATGAAGATCAGTGATTTTCTGTTCGGCACGGTCTACGTAGCCGGCCAAAGTTCGACCCAAGCACGAGTCATAGTCTCACGAACTTGGACCTTTGATCTTTCCAGGGAAGGCGATTAGCCCGAATACAGCATACTAGAGTACACATAACAGCGACTTCCTCCATCCGAGCATAAACTTCATGTACTTACTTGAGTAATTAGTTATCCAGTTGACTTAGAAATGCATACTCCTATATTTCGCATTAATAACTCAAAAAGTTGCGGGTGCAACTATCCTGAGAATGCCGAAACCCATGAAAGGTGGGTCTCGCTCTCGCAACTCATTTAATTGACTTTCTAGAAGTTATTGAATCCAAAAGCTACTAGGCGTGGCCGAGGCTCGTTCAATCCGCAATACCCGAAGTCAGGAGCGTAAGGGGTTGTACTTATTCTCGTATAAATATGGCTTCTGTTTGATAGTAGCAAGTATCGGGAGTCTGACGGACACCGCACTCAAGCTCTATCTCCCAAAACAATACGAATACGCAATTTTCACAGCAAAAGCCAGAAGTATGCCATCTTGATACGTTTTTCCTTTTTTGATTAAACACAAAGTAACTCGTCAACTAACAAAGACTAGAAAATGGTCAAGCTTTCCCTCCTCGCCCTCATCACCCCGGTGATGGCCGTCAACTGGGTCACCATCTCGGCCAAGGGAGACGCGTCTTTTGAGCAGTTCAAAACCTGGGCCCAGCGGACGTGCCAAAACGATCAAAAGGGACAGGTCTACAGCTCCTCTGACATTTACGGCGACCTGTCGGTCAACTGCTACAATGTCCCGCAGAGCTGGTGCGACTCGTACAAGGGAGGCAAGAACTACCACCCTAGTGGAGTGTCTTTTACCAGCCCCAAGGCTGGAGCTTGCTACCAGCAGTCATAGGGCGGTAGTTGGGACATTGGTCTTTCGTCTTTTGGATACTGAATGATGGACGATGAGTGATTCTGGGCATGTGGACATACAGTGATAACAGCGAATCACATATCTTGCTGGATACTTAGGTCTGGCTGAGGAAGATAGCGACTTGAGAATCGGAATTAAATTTGGAAACAGAGCCTTGTATTACCCGAAAGAACCTGATTCCTAATCCCTCCTCCATGAAGCATCTTTGTCACCAAGTGCCGCCTGGACGCCAGACTTAAAGTCTCAATATGCCACTAGGTTAACAACCAGCTCAGGCTAAATGACTTAGCATACATATATACTGCTATCGTCACGTATTCGACGGGTGCCGGTCTCATCACACCCTCATCTCTGGATGAGCGGGCGGCCGTACCCTCCCAGATCTTGTTTCGGCATCTGCATAGATTTGAGAGTCTATACCACGGGGTGGGTACGTTTGGATGCGACCACGTTCATCCGCGTGCCGCGCCATCTCTTGCCGACCTTCACGGCCAAGAGGCTCAAGTGGCGCTCGCACCAGTTTTCTTGGGTCCCCCGGCGGATGAGCCATGACACCAACGACAGCAATCTGCTCTTTGCCATTGACTTGCGCCACGCGAACAGCAGCCCGAGTTTGCATGGGATCGTTCGGGCCATGTCCGTTGGCAGGCCCCATCACGTTTGCTCGTTCATTGTGATGAAGTACTCGATTTGCCTGAGCCGCTGGCTGGGTGCGGCGGTCGTACTGAAAATTAAATTGTTGACCGGGTTGCGGGATGGGGTACTCCTGCATGGGGCCGGTTGGCCCCTGAGATCGACCTGGGCCCGTGACGTAGTCGTCAAAGGTCTTTACTTCTGTGTTCCAGGCCTGTCTACCACGAAAGGCATGAGGGTATTGGGATCGAGTGCGTGTGCCGGGCGGAGGTACGCCCTGAAGATGCTCCGACAAGTCTTTTGCAGCAACTGGGCCGCGAGGTGTATGATATTGCTGTTTAGAGCCGACACGTTAGCCAATGAGCACTTAGACAATACAAGACCATCTGTCATATCGTCTCAAGTACAGTACAGACCCCAAGCTGTCGGGTTGCGAGACCTACAAGTTGCTCCTCAGGATTGTCCGTGTTGCGTCTTTGCGGTGTAGATTGCTTGTTGCCCATCCTGACGATTTGAAGGTCGTGATGGAATATAGAGACAATATATAGAAGGGGAAAATGGTTACAAGGTCTGAAAGGATGCGGTCAATGCAATACGTCAACTCGACTAGAATCAGGAAAGTAAAGGCCACTTCTCCAGGATGTGGATGCTCTGACTAAAGAAGAAAGACCATGAGATGGGATATTTCTAACTCTCTTAAGTACAGGTGAAGCACACTTTGAGCTTCTTGGCTCAAGATCTACAGGAAACACGGCGCTTGCCATAATTAGCAATGCGATGTTAATGGGCCGAGAAAAAGTGCTCTCTTCCAACATCAAATGATCAATCACAGCGTTTCACTCAAAGCAGTCCACAACTCGAACATCCAAGTAACCACACAGATAAGGTCAACTTTCACAATCTCGTCAGCCGACCAATTGGCAATGAGCTTAAGGGTCAAAGTTGAGTTGAAAGCGTGGAGCGAAGCGCTGGTCAATCGACCGAGAAGCGTGAGAGAGAACGACAACCCTGGTTCCAACATTACCGCTGAAAAGCTGTGTGGATAAGTCGTTGACGATCCAATGACTGTTTCTCAGCTTAGCCTCCATGTTGGTTGGGTCGTTGCGAAAAAAGGGCCCCTTCCAACATCGAACGACTGATGAATTGACGAGGGTGAGAAAACAACCTGCTCACAAGACTGCCCCCGGAAATGCATGCTCAGAAGTTGCTGAAGATCCAATTATTGTTGGCCAATTTAGATTTCGTGTTGGTTTGGCCGGTGTGCTCGGTGACCCGGCAGGTTTCGGACCCTGGGTGTGACTGTGAGGCCGCGGTACCGGCACGGTGGTTCGGCGATGCGCTCGCAGGGTGGGCTGTGCAACGGTCGGCGCTTAATATGCGTGACCACTTGCAACCCCGGCCACGTGAGGATGTGACCTTTCCAACGGGTCAAAGTTGCGTGTATTTTCTCCTCATGAACTCACAGCCCCAGGCTGCCTCCCGTCTTATCTTTTAACCGTTGGCTCGTCCCATTCCTCAAAACTTCAAGTCATCAACTTTTCAACACTTCTCAATCAATTGCAACATCATATCATTTCACAAAGCATCAAGCCTCACATATCGCTATTTCAGACTGTATTACACTTGGCATTATGGCGGTTGTCAGCGCCACAACCAACACAGAGCCCAAGGCAACATCACCCGTCGAGCCTTGGAGAGCCGCTCTAGATGAGGTAATTGCCATCCAGGAGAGTTGGGGAGACCAACAAGAATCGGAATATGCTTCAATCATTCTCAAAATGCTTCTCGCTTTTCCTGAAAAGGGTTACTTGGCCACACTTGAAGCTTCACTCCGCATAGGAGCAGATTACTGGGCCAAATATCTCCCTTCCAGTGTTGATCCTCTCAACAAGCCTTATCGGTTGGCAGATAAAGGCTGGCGCATGTATCTTTATGGCTTTTACGAGACATTCCTTGAGCAAGCGTGGCTGTTGCGTTATGACGATCCTCGGCAAGACTGCTTGGTGCACCTCCTGATGGACTTGCAGAACCTGCCCAAGGTGACATACCGGAGCTATGGTGTACGTTATTGTTTTCATCTACCTGTCTTATTTTTCTTTCTTTTTTTTTTTCACAGAAGCCTTCGCTTACTGTTCCTCCAGAAAGAGTGGATTGCGTATCACAATGATTCAGTTTGGGGGGAATTGGTGGACGATAAGTGGAATGCAAAGTTTGGTAAGTTAAGCCTACACCATATCATTATGACTTCTTGACTCATCGTTGTTACAAGCGTCCGATCAAGCTGAACCGACGGAACCCGAGGCAAAGAAGGACTTCATTCTCACTTGTGATGAGTGGGTCAACTACTCCTGCTTCTTGGCTCGGTTTTCTGGCTCCGAAGCCCACATTGCGTATGAAGGTCAATCGAAATGGCCGAGCATCGATGTTGAGCTGGCACTCGAAAAGCCCATTCCTGCTGGAAAGCTCGGCCAATGTAGACTGTTGGTGGCGTCGAATTGGTTGATTCATGCTGGCAAGTTCATCTACGAGGATATGAAGAAGACGGGCGCGGAGAGGTGGGGCCTAGGAAGATGGGGTCGATGGACGGAGGCAATTCGAGGCATCTTGAAGGCTGGGGAGCAGACTGACGAAGTGACCGCGAGACTACAAGCGGCCTTGGACACGATCGTCTCGTTGACACCAGATGCCATTGAGGTTAAGGAGAGCACTGGAGCCGAGGAAAGCAGTGAAGGCGCTGAGATGAAGGAGAGCAGCGAGGTGAAGAAGAGCAGTGAGGTGAAGGAGAGCGGTGAAGTAAAGAATAGTAGTGAGGAGAAGGAGGCTGGTGAGGCCAAGTAGTTATTGGAACTGTTAAATACATAAATCAGATATTCCAGGGTTTGTCCAAGCGCACAAACATGTAACGCACTGGACTAAGGTATTTAGCCTAGAGAGCTGTACAAACTGAACATAGACTTAGCATCCAAACTCGTAGTACTCTGGTCTGTTAGGACGAACGAGATATGAGTCACTTAAGATCCTGAACACGGTTGTTGACATTATTGAGGTAAGCATTCAAGCCGTTGCGATTCAGGAGGCCCAGGCCGTGATGTGTTAATTACCGTGGAGCGGGAGGGGAGAAGGGAAGTTCCTTGGAGCCCAGTGGAGTGATCTGTAGTGAATCGACGGGAGAGGTCCTCTCCACCGCTGCTCTAGTTCGGGAATGATTGAAGGATATCAGCGTTTGGTATACGAGCCTCTGAAGCAGCGGAGCCGGCGGGATGTACGCGAGGGATCCATTGGTGTGACAATATCGCAGCGTGGGCAGCATCAGGTGGACACGCCAAGCAACAAAGACAAATCAAGGCATGCACGGAGGGAGTTAGCCCACTTGCGGTGTGCGCTTAGAGAGCAGGCATAGAGCATGACTTGGATAATCCCAACAAGTCGGTATGTTGCATGACGGCAAGGTTGCCGCATGGTGATTTCTTTGGCGAGGAAGGCGCGTCGAAAAGTGCGACACGTATCTTGCTCATGGGTTTGCTCCTCGCCAGCTTTGGACCTAGCAGGATCATGGTACTTGTCAATTAGTCTAGATCATTGATAGTTGTAAGTACTAGTTCATATGACAAAGCCTCGGTGCTTCTTGCTCCTGACCACGATTCTGTGCGGAAAAGGTTTGGCACGAGCAATCACACCCGGCAACTGTTCGTATTTGACCTCCATCTCCCGTCCATCTTCGTCCACCGCTCTTTGAATGTTGAAAACCGCCAAAAATTGCGCAATGCATAAAAAGATTGTCTGGTCGGCAATATACCTTCCAGGACAAGCTCTGCGTCCAAATCCGTATACAACATCAGTTGGTGTAGGCTCATTGAACGGCTCAAAGTATCGTTCAGGTTTGAACTCCATTGGGTCGCGATACGTGTCGGGATCGTGCATGATAGACGCAGCTGCAGGAAACAAAAGCGTGTCCTTTGGTATGAAATAGCCGTTGTAAGTATCGTCTTCCGTAGTCAGGTGCGGGAAGCCCATGGGTGCAAGTGTGTGCCAGCGAAGTGCTTCTTGAGCTATAGCCTGAACATATGGGAGGCTGTCTTTGTCGGAGAATGAAGGAAGACGCGAGTCGCCCACCACGCGGTCAATCTCATCTTGAGCTCTCTTTTGAACTTCTGGGTATACGACCAAGGCCGCAAAGATGGAGTACAGCATCGCGCCAGTCGTATCAGTGCCTGCATTTAGCATAGATGCAGCTGTCCAGCCGATGACGCTCTTCTCCTCGGAGTCAATTTTTCGATGGAGATCTTTGATCAAGCCAGCGACGTATGAAACATCATCGTTTCCGTTCGCCATTTGCTCCTTGACGTAATCGTACGGAACCTCAATTCCCTGGAGGAGATGTTGTCTGAAGATTTCGGCCGTCTTTTTGAATCCCGCGCCCGGCATCCAAGTCGGGACGTATCTTAGCCATGGGATCAAGTCAACCATCCAGGCGCCTGGGCTCGTGGCTTTGGAGAAATCCTCCATTACCTGCTTAGACATGGCCACGATGGGGTCGTTCTTCTTCGGGTCCGTTTTGTAATTGTAGAGAATTCGTAACATGATGGAACCAGCGAATCTGTTCCACAAGTCAGATACTGTGCATTCCCTCATCCTACTCTACAGCAATGACTACTTACTGGTTCAAGTGGCCTTGCAGTGTGTCGCTGTTGCTGTTGGAGTCTTCGTATATTTGCTTCAAGAACCGCAAAGTTTCACGCTCTTGGATCGGTTCGAATCGTACGATCGACCTTTTACTGACTTGAGTTGCCGTAAGTTTGCGATGCAATCGAAATTTCCTATCGTACGGCATCATGCCCATGATGTCTCCATAACCAACTCTAGGTAAATCATATCAGTTCAACAATCGTTTCTCGTGGAAGTGAATCTCGTACAGCTCACTAGCAAATACCAGCTTTGGCCGCGACGCACTCTTCAGAGCGCGAGTCTCCAACATGTCCAGCACGGCTTGTTTGTCATGGAGAATGACGAAACGTTGACCAAGCACAGATACTGAGGTGATTGGGCCATATTGCTCCTTGTGTTTCCGCCAATGTACCCATTCAAGAGTTCCAGGAGGGGGAAGATCCAAAATGTTGCCGAGAAATGGCAAACCTCTGGGTCCAGGCGGCAATGGACCCCTGGTTCGTTGTTGGATACGATTAAAGATGATGTAGCAGAGCAGCACTACGGCTCCGGAGTAAATCAGTGTGTTGCCAAACATGATGGCTCGACAATCATTGATGGTACATTGGAGAAGTTATGTGTCTACAGAGAGGTTTCGATCTCTTTTAAGAGAAGCTTACCTTCAAATTTGTGGACTAAGGGAAAGTACCTAGCCCAATGGCTTACGTCTCGCTAAACTCAAGCTCACATCATACGGTCAGCAAAGAACAAGATTCATCATGGTTAACCTCAATGTTCATTCCGCCAGTAAGAAATGAATGAGTACGAGCGGCTTATGTCAGATATGAGAGCTGATGCCACACTAATTATCCTTGGGGGAGCTAAGTCACAATCGCGTGCACGTGAATGGCTTAACATCATAGCATAAGTCCACCGACCTGATTGGCATCATCGGACTGATCCCTGTATCCCCCACTAAATGCTGACCAGCCGAACGACTTTAGCACCAGATACTGTTGTCACGTGCATCAACCAATGGGTATGTATCATCAATGAAGCCCAAGACTTGTATATATTGACTCCCGTGGCTCTCTAACAGACTTAACCTGTCGGTGTTAGGGACTGTAATAATCTTCTACCCAGAAAGCTCGAAGGATGAGAAATATCCCAGAGTTTCCTTGCTTTTTCTAATCTACGCCTCATCTTGAGTTGACTATTCTTGCATGGGCGGTCAAGTGTTTAGGGATACATTAGCAATTTGCGAATCTATACTGATTTGATGACTGATTTGATCTTTCGAGCTGCTATGAGGGTGTCCTGGGCATCTCAAAACAAAAGGATTGGTCAGGGAGCTGTCGGTCAAGTGTCAGGAAACCGTGATAGCATCATGATAGATCATCGGTGCCACCAGCAGCATAGATATCGTAGGATTAGTCTGTCGGTGTTGGCCAGATCAATCTGCTGGGCCTGCCGTGGGGAATGCTAGTAAGCGGTGAGGCTGATCAAGCGAGGGTATCCCTAGTTCTTCAGAATGGCATGCTTGTTCAACGACCTCGGAAAATATCCTGCACCAACATGGCACTTGACGTCCGCCAGCGTCAAATCCGAAGCTTCACGTACAACCTGGCCCAGTGCAAAAGGCATGTTCTCACTAGCGGTCGTAAGGCTCTCTTCTGGGATAAGGGCAAGAATATGGAGATCCTCATTCAGCTGCACCTACACCTGCGGCCGGTCCTGGACCGGGAGTGGGGCCTGCGGACAGACATCGATTTGATCCGCCGTAGCTGCAATTCCCGCACTCGGGGCAGCGTCGGGTGCCCAGCTTCGGATCACTGCCGAGCCAATCCCGGTCTGGGTCAGTCTGTCAAGGGTTTTGGTCACCTATGTAGTAGCATCTTCCGCGATTTGCTTCCTGGAGTAGGCCGAAGGTCCCATAGGTACGAAGCACTCGTGAAAAGACCACCAGGACATACCGAGTCTGACCATATTCAGCCAGCATAGGGGAAGCCTTTGTAGCTCAGAAATCCTTCCTCCCGCTCTGCGTGCCACGACTGCGAAGGGTTTATTGTGGCATAGCCCACTCCATAGAGACTTTGTGAACAGGGAGACCGTTGACAACGGGCTCAAGTGCCTCATACAAAACCCGTATTAGAAATGGATGGTTATGGGGTGTCGGCCCACATCCAAAGTGTGACGCTGCAGCCGCGGCGAGCCGATGCCGGTGGGTTCTCGCGATAACCTAAGCCAGTAAAGTGGGGCGATTGCTTAATCAGATGATCTGATAAGATCAAATTCTCCCACCTGCCCACCTGCCACCTGCCCCAAGCGCACTTTCTGCACTCAGCGAATTCCACCTTACTTTTTTGTCCTGAGGTCTCCCCGCCCCCGGCAACCTCAGCTTTTGCCTCCTTCAACCTCACCTCTCGACGACATACCAACAGCATCATCGCGACCTTGTCGGGGACCCGTGCATCGGCATATCGCGCACCCCGCGGTCGGCTTGCTTCATCGATGCAAACACCCGCAACTCGGCCGTGAATATGCGCGCTCCGTCGTCGGGGCTCCGGCTACTGCCGCCCACCCTCATCGCCGCACTGTGCCTCTTCGTCGCCTCCGCCTCGGCCCTCGCAGGCAGCGGCGGTGTCTGCTTCGATACATGTTCCAACACCCTTCGCCAACCGCAGTTCAACGACACGCAGTCCTACAATGGGAGCTTACCCTCAAGGTCGAGGCTCATCCCGCAGTGCGTGAGCCAGCTGCACATCAAGTCGCTCTACCTCTGCGCCGACCTGCACTGCGACTTGACGCACCGTGTCGCTGGCCTGAGCAACGTCAACCACACGTGCCAGGCCAACATGAACACCTCGCTACCGCCCTTCGAGATCGTCGCTGGCTATTCTGATGAGGAGATTGCTGGCTTGCGGAGGTTGACCAAGGCGGAAGGGTCCAACTCGTCGACTGTGCTGAATGAGGTGGTGTTGCCTGCGGAAGCTTATTATCAGATCTGGTTCGACTCTCTCGTATGGCACCCAAGTATCTTCCCGGACTGGAACTCAAGGACTAACGACACATAGGAATCCGTCGAGTACACATACGGTAATCACTACAGATATGGGTACGTGCCCACGATTTCATCCATGTTTGGGTGGCGGTCGCTAACTACCCACGCCTAGTTTCTACGTGATTGTCTTCTGGTTCATCGTAGTCGCCATCGGGCTGGGATCTCGCCTCGTATCGGCTATCGGAAACCTTCAAAAGCAGGAATGGGATTCACGAAAGTCGTCCAGCATCCTTCACTGGTCCGCCCTCTGGCTCAAGCGATACATCACCGTCCCCGCCACCTTTGGCTACCGTTGCTCTCAGAACCTCGGCTGGTGCACCATCCCGCCACGCATCCAGAGTCTCACCATCTTCACCTTCGTTGCCGCGAACGTCTTCTTCTGTGTCCACGGGTACTGGATCTTCTCCGGCCACATGTAGTAAGTGTAGCTTGCTCTATTCTTCGCCTTACTCCACTAGCTTACGCACCTCTAGTTGGCCGCAGAAGTACCATTTGGTCTGGCGCTATGTTGCCGATAGAACCGGCATCATCTCTTTCGCCAACTTCCCCATCATCTGGCTCTTTGGCATGAGGAACAACCTTCTCATGTGGCTGACCGGCTGGGACTTTGGGACGTACAATAACTTCCACCGTTGGGTTGCCCGCGTCTCGACGCTCCAAGCTGTCATCCACTCCATCGGCTACGTTGTTCTGGTCTTTGATGGTAGGATATACACCACCTCTTAGGAAGGTCAAAGCTAACTTGTTTCAGACGGCGATTGGAATTACTGGATGTCGTATTGGCACCAGATGTGGTGGATTGAAGGATGGTTTGTGAGTAATGCCCTCTTGGGCTTCCAGTAACATATGCTGACCTCAAACCAAAGGCTACAGTTGGCATGTGCGCCTTGCTCTTTGCCTCCGTCTTTTGGATGCGACGAAAGCAATACGAGCTCTTCCTCATTCTTCACATTTTGCTGTCGATTCTTGTCCTCATCACCATGCTTGGGTAAGTTTCGACATTCTTCTCTCTGGACTTCCCAGTACTCATGAACTCTAGCCACGTCTCCATCTTCCTTGGGCAATTTGACATTCTCTTCTGGGTACCTTGCCTCATCTGGATCGGCGATCGTATTCTGCGCATGTCGCGGACGCTGTCCTTCAACCTCAAGTTCTGGAATACCTTCGCCCTTGCCACGTATGACGCGAACTCGAACATTGTCCGCATCAATGTTCCATACTCGACTAGCTTCTACGAGCCCAAGGCTGGCACATACTACTACCTCCATGTCCTCAGCGACAAGCGATTCTGGGAAAGCCACCCATTCACCATGGCCTGCACAACGACAAATATGAATGTTAGAAGGAAGTCATCCAGCGAACAGACTCCCCTACTCGTAGCGGGAGAGCATGATATAGAACCCATCTCTGAGGTTGGATACGAGCCCAGGAGAGGCGAGCCATCAATGACGTTCCTCATCCGCCCGTACGACAGCTTTACCGGTCGTCTACGTGAGGATGCAGCAGCCCAGTGGCCTCGCCCTGCACGCCTCCGCGTCCTCGTGGAAGGTCCATACGGTCACAAGCAGCCCTTCAACCAGTTCGATGATCTCCTTTTCATCGTTGGAGGCAGTGGTATTGTGGTGCCGCTCGCTCACCTAGCGGAACTCACCAAGACATCGTCAAAGACTCGGTCGATCAAGATTGTCTGGGCAGTCCGCGAACTGAGCTTTGCGGTGGATGTGCTGCGCCACGACTTCGAAGATGCCTTTGACTGTGGGAAGTTGTCCGTCGATATTTATGTTACACAGCACAGTCTTGCGTCGAATGCTGCGCGGCCGGAGGAGTGGCCGGAGCAGGTGCGTTTACTTCACGGGCGTCCCGAAGTTCGTGAAGAGGTACAGGACGCGGCCACCGCAGCTGACAAGTCGAGTCTCGCCGTCGTGGCATGTGGGCCTGCTGTCATGGCCGACGATGCTCGAAAGTCGGTTGTTGAAATGCTTGGCCGTGGGTGGTCCAGAATCGAATACTTCCAAGAGAGTTTCAACTGGTGAGCGATGAGAGATCTTGATACGATTTAGACTGCTATTTTGGATATAGAGCATTATCACGAGCATAAGATGGCGTTAAGCGTTTGAATTTACTGATTTCCATATTACACAAATACATTTCATCTAGGGATTCGACACATCAGTCGCCATTAGTCTGCTCCGTCTTCCGCTTCTTGTGCTTCACATCTACAACCTCTTCCTCCATTAGCTCGCTCTTCTCATCTAGGCCGCTCCACTTGGGCTTTCCATCGGGAAGATCGACGACCCTCTGCCCGTAAAAGATGTGCTTCCTACTCACCGATTAGCGTCACAGCTCCCAGGTGAAGTTCACCTTGACAGGGAAGGGAGTACTCACTGAACGTCAAACTTCTTCCTCTTCTCCTCTCCATCAAAATGTAACAACCCAGGAAACAATAATACCATGTTCCTGCCCTCATCCATGATCCGACTCCCGCAGAACCCGCAGCTCACTTTACACGGCAAATCATGGCCCTGGAGATTCTTCCCCGACGAGTAGAACGTCAGCCCGTCAACCCCGTTATCGAACGCCAGGTCCTCCTTGTGGAAGATGGCGGCCCACTGGAAGGGCGCGCCGTGCATCTTTTGACAGTCTCTGCAGTGGCAGAACTTTGAGGCCAGGGGCTCGTCTTTAGAGAGCCAGTAGGTTACTTGGCCGCATTGGCAGGCGCCGCGGATCTTCTTGTGGAAGGCTTCGCCGTGGGGGTGAGATTTTCCGGGGGCGATGTAGGGGGCTTGGGTTTTCCAGTGCTCGTCTTTGGAGTTTGTTGTTGTTTTGGTTTCCGTGATTTCGGGTTTCTTCATGTTGAGGGTTGGGTGGGAGGGAGCTCGATGTGGTGGTGATCGTGAAGGCGCTGGTCGTGCGTATCTGGCAGGAATTGTGGTCGAGGCCTGGATATTGCTGCTGATATCAATCTCGGTAGATTTGTGTAGCTCCAATTGGATCTGCTGGATTCAACTGGGAGCTCAAGACGGTGCAAAGTGCAAAGGTTTTGACGAATTTTCGTGGATGCTGCGAGGGAGAAGGAGCATAGGCCCCCAATGACGCGGTGGTTGGTGACATCACTGGCGTTAACATCTATGATGCCTTTATTCTGGCGTGAAATAAGAAATGTCCCGCACTGGTAATTTTTTCTGGACTACTCTAGGTTAGAGAGGGAAAAAGCCACGGTTTCGACGATCTATGGGGTAAGGTAGGGCGTTGAAATGTATAACGGTTAAGCTAAGGCGCTTTGGTATGGGGTGGTTGGTCTGAAGTCTAAACGTGATGTCTGGAATCGGGATGAACCGCACCTTTCTTCCTATGGTGTATCTTGATCTATCCTTCCTTGCTCCTTCCTCCTTCTTGGTTGCCCTTTTATTTTTGGGACAACTGTGGTCGTCGATCTCTGGCGTTGAGGGTTCCCCCATCTGATCAAGGGGTAAGGGGGATGAACCGGCGCTCGGACTGGCGTTCGAGATGTCATCGGGTCATCATCGATCGGGCCTGTTTACCCCACAGATTGCAAGCGAATCGGGGAAAAGGCCCTGACGATCTTGCGTCCCAATGTGAGCTACCGCGAACTTGATGTCGTTAGAAGGGAGGTGAGGTCACCATGCGTAGGCAATGTGATAGATGGGAGTAGGTAGGTCACGCAATCAATTGGTATTTGCGACTATGACAAGATAAAGTTTTACTCGATTCAAACCGTGGACTATAGCGAGTGCGATACTAGTAGTTCGCAATATCCCATGACAATAATCAGCTTGAAATCTTTTCTATGAGCTTCTAGTTGATATGGTGCGTAGGCTGTTGGGAAGAGAACAACAGCTTAAGTCTCTCAGCCTTCCGTTGAAGCACCTGCACTGGGTAAGTCTCTATCACAAATAGCAGTGTACAACCCCCACAACTTACATTACTTCTTCGACGTAGCCATCTTGTCCCAGGAGTCTTGCCATTCGCCAAGATATGTCTTTATCTTTTTGACCTGAACATCCTTTGTAGTTTCTCGGCCTCTCTTAGAGCTACTATGGAGCTTCTCTGTGATGGTCGGCGAGTTCCTAAGATAGTCTTCAAGCATGGGGGATGTGTCTCCAGCACTACCGACAGTGGTTTATCAGGTTAGCTCAGTCCAAGCTATGTTGCCAACAAATCCTCCCCTACCTTTTGACTGCAGAACTGGAGGTTGTAGATCTAGACTGGTCCATTTCTCGAATGCTGTTGTGGGCTGATAAGTGTGGCTTTGGTATGATTTCCTAACGTTCTGACTTGAGAGCATCTATAAAATAGTAAAGACGACAATAGCTTGATGGTACGCTTGCCAAATTCTTGCTGGTTATTGAAACATGTTTTGAGGGCTCTTTTGTATTGCTTCTGAATTATGCCTGCTAACATACTTGGCGCTGGATGGGCATATTCACGTCTCATAGATTGAATTAACATCAGTCATTCACAGACAAGTGGTGCTATTGGTATCTAAGAAGCCATGTCAACTCAATAGCACACAACGTCAAAGTTACATATTACAAGCATGATAAGATTTAGCTCGATTAGCACAGGACGCAACGGGGAGCAATACACCACGGAAGTGCCTTTACAAGTCATTGGTCGCCTGATTTGGTAGTCCGCTTGGCAAGCACCCCTGCCACTCTGGCGAATAGGAGGCAAAAGCACAGCTGTGCCTTGTTCCTACTGCAGCCTCACCCGGCAATGCTAAGGGATTTTGGCATGTTCCTGGTTTCCGCCGAATCTCTGTCCCGTTTCTCTTCCTAAAATTCCATTTCGATTCACGCCTGGTCGATGAGTGCGAGTGATCTGTGCATTTCTCTTCCACTCCTCCTTTACCCAAATGCCTTCCTCTGCCCTCTTCGTCTATCTTATTGCCAGATATCCCGACTCAGATTAGATTCATTTCTCATTCTACCGGTCGCGAGACAATGGACCATTCTCACGGTACCCGTGGAAAGGATGATCACAGTCTCGACTGTGGTCAAATCTCTCTACAAGACTATATGGATGGGCCACGCTCACATAGATTTGTGGACATGGAGAGGCTGAAATTTCCTGAAACTTCCGAAGAAACCTATGAAGAAAGTTACGGAACCCCTTCACTCACGGCCGCACTCTCATCTTCTTCTAGCCGTTCGATTCCGGTAGAAAACAATGAACACCGTAATCCTTCCGACACATATTCCAGCCGGGCACCCGAACCTCTTGTCTTAGAGGACGGCATCTTTTCAACAGCACCTAGGTTCAGTCCTTCAGGAGACTGCCCTTTTGATCAAGCAATAGCGTTCGACACTGCGTTCAAAACCCGTTTTCTGGATTTCGATGCCTACCCGTTTGTTTTTGATTTGTGCAGTCGTCCCGACCAAGCTCCCTTGCCAAGGGAAATAATCGAGCGCCAACTCGCCACTCAGGAGGGCAATGAGAACTCTGAATATGCGTCTACTTACTGGCCTGCACTCTTCCCAGACCCAACGGAACTAAATACCATGGAAGATCTCCACACTAGCAGACCAAAAGATAATATGCTGGCTTCTATCCCGGAAACCAGCCCTGCTGAAGTCGAGTACGAGCAGCAGTACATCGTTGGGCTGGCTAGTGAGATGCAGAGAAGACTACGCCATCTTTCCGACGCTGGGGTATCGCGATCTTGGAACTCGTCCTTTTCCAGTGTGATTCGAGCCTTTACGATCCGCCTTGGCTATGAGTCCTCAAATGATATCAGTCACGATACCTGGCAAATCATTCATAAGAACAGTGGGTAAGTGATGCTCAAAACTTCCATAGCACTGTCAGTTATAGGTACCTTACTCAAGAAAGTAGTTAATAACGATTCATAAAATAGAGAGCTTTTTAATCACCTTCAGAATATGATGTCATTGTTTGACAACCACATCAAAAGTAAGGAAACCGATGGCATCAAGGGAAATCTTCATGATATGTCTGTGGAGGATAAGATGAGTCTCTGGGAGGAACAAAAGAATCCCAATTGCACACCACCTCCACAGCACACACAGCTCAAGGAAGACACACGAGATCGCATTGAATCTTCCACAAGACAAATCGAATATGAAGCGATACTAGAAAGTCGGGCCTTCAATTGGTTATTAAATCATTTGGAAAGACAAGCCTCGCTGTGGTGGGATGACAATGATCTAGGAATCTGCGTGCAGGAGGAGATCCAGCGAAAAGTTATGAATCTCTTCGCATTGGAGATCGATGAAAGGCACACATCAGAGATTCAAAAGATCAAGTTTCAGCTTCTTGACTGGCCGCTACTCGGCATAGGAAGTGACAAACAACATCTTCAGCACAACGACAAGACAAAACCTTTGAGACAAGTCACGCTTGAATCTGCGGTGGTCGTATGTTGTGCAGATAAGAGTCAGGTGGTGACCATAAGAGACTACATGGATCAGACATGGCCATCAAACTGGAAACAGGCCTTTGATTTACTCCAATCTTGTGCAGACTTTGGGGAAACACAGGTTTTGAACAATAGGCACCAAGTCGGTAAGTACTTTAGGTTGTGACTTTTATCAAACAGGATGGTCGCTAAGTTGTCAAAGTTGGTCCACCAGGGTATCCTAATCTCCTAGCTTCGGTAGAAGATGGACACCTTACGGTTACAGTTGAAGGATATCCATACTTCATAGCTGAGTATGGCGAGCAACTTGCGTGGCTCTCAGCCGCTGTTGCACAGAATAGCCGGGCTGTTTATCGCAGACCAACAATCACTCGACAGAGAGAGATAGGATCGGACGAAACCATCTTCTGTTTCGACATCGTTCTAGAGGAAAAGCCGCTTCATTCATTGCCGCCGCAAGAACGGTCATTGGCAGGAATCCTAGGACAGGATTTCGTAGCCATTCGAGGATTTCCCATCCTTCGTCGCCCGATAGAGTTTCCTGGGATGGAGATTCCATGGAACATGGCTCAAAAGCTCGTAGGAAGTCCTTGCAGTGTTCACACATCCCATGGGGGGCAACTAGTCCTCAGCGGTTGGCGAAAAGCCATTGCTCTCGCCAAACAAACCCAGAATATTTCCCTTTGGTCCGAGGTCGCCACAGGCAAAACCGCAAGATTGATGATAGGACCCGGCGCAACACACGTCATGGAGCTGGTGCAATATCAAACTGGTCGGCATATCATCACCCAAATCGAAGACTCAGCGTGGCCAGAGACACCATCGGGATTCTCCTCTTCGGGAAGAAAATCAAAAGAACCAGCTGTGGACGTCAACTCCTCAACGCCATCTGTCCAAATTTTGGACACGATCGAGTTGTCGCCCTGGCATTCAAATCCATATGGAAATCAAAGCAAGTCTGAACACTGCAACAGTGGTTTGATCGATCCCCATGATGGTGGCGGTGATGGAGCTGCCGATTCCGCAGCTGCTGAATCTGCAGATTCCTTGGACACGGATCTTCTGTCAGTATCAGATGAGTCGGATAATATCGACTTCCAGCCTTTGTACGAAGACCATCCAACTTTGCCACTGATCCAGGCCATTGCTCGTACCCTGCTCCGGGACTATCGACTTCAGACTCAGCATCGTGGAGAGACGTCTTCCAGTGGTGCCTCTTCCTCGGCATCAGCGCTTGACCAAACGCAAGAGGCGAAAGGGCCTTCGAACCCTCAAATTACAGTCAATAGAAAGCGCAAACCTGAAACTGAGCTCAAATCGGGCAGAGAGCCAACTAAATCATCGGGATCAGCACAGGAGGCTAAAAAGCAGCAGCTCACATTAGCATGCCCTTTCTGGAAATTCAATACCGACAAATATCATGTTTGCGTCACCAAAAAGCTCACAAGGGTACGGGACGTTAAACAGCATCTTAAGAGGAGTCATACTCCTGAGCACTACTGCCAACGCTGCTTCAAGATCTTTGCCAACGAAGATAGTCTTCGAGACCATGTATCGAATCCGGAAGGGTGGACCTGCCCTCTCAACGAAACAGGGGCGCTGGACGGAATTTCTCATGAACAAAGCAGGAACTTACACAGGAAGTCGGCTCCTGGGCAGACGGATGAGAATCAGTGGTTCGCAATTTGGGACATTCTTTTCCCTGGAAAGACAAAACCACGCTCAGCGTACATGAATCCCGATATGTGCGAAGAACTATCAGCTTTCCAAGAGCATTTGAACTACAATGCTGCTCAAGTCGTGCAAGATTCACTAGAGACCGCGGGGTTTCTTTGGCATCTCACAACCGAGGAGGAGTCACAAAATCTTCGCAGGGTAGTCAACGAGGCTATCTATGCCATGCAACAAGAGTGGATTTCAAATCGAACAACGATGCGACCAATAGCAAGCGTACGACATTCACATCATCAAAGTCACCCTGGCAACTCTCAACCCGTCAGAGGATTGGCGACTCCCACTGACAGCGGCATTAGTTTGGGATCACAGACCGACGGATCATATCGAAGACCAAGTACTATACCTCAACAAGCAAATCTTTCAGGTTTAGAACAGCAGGATAGCTCGACTGGGATTGAGTCGCAAGTTTTGACAAGATTGGAACATGCAGCTCGAAACATGCCGGTCTTCGATGGAGGGCCGACCACAAATTCTTTAGCTGCCCAACCAGGATCAAACTTTTGGGTACCGCAGGCCCATCTAGCGGGGTTGACAGGACTCTTTGGACCCGATTCAAGAATGAACGGATTTGGTACGGCGAATGGTACAGTCCCGCCAATCGATCTTTCATTTTGGGGCTTTGGTGAGAACGTGGAACATGTCACTCAGGCTGTAACAGGAGCAGCAACGGCGGAAGTTCCGTCATCAACAGCGCAAACACCTTGAAATGTACATATGCGAATGCCAACTTGTTGATAGAATTCATACTTGACTTCAACGTATATTGTATCGGAACTCAGGAATCCATCTGACAACGATCACGCCTGACGTGTGTATTCAGCTAGATCAAATACAGCCGCAGGCATAGGAAGCATCGCAGTATTGGCATGGAGCTTTCAAGTCACCGATTCTCACTAAAAAGCGGGTGATATACAAGCGGTAGTAAACATGCGTCAAAGTCACATGTATTCATTTCTGAAATGCCCACACGATCTCAATTATTCAACCTGAGCATCTTCATTGCGGGGCACTGAATGAATGTCATCCGTACGTCTCCCCACAACCCGCCTGCGGCTGCGACGTGGGCTGCCGTGACGGAGACTTCAACATTGGATCGTCGTTGCTCCGGAGAGAATCGTTGCCCCGGCGTCCGGGGTCCGACGTTGCCGGATCGGCACGATGGCGAAAGTCTCACGGGTCTCCGCCCCAATGAACGCGTGGACGAGCAGGACGGGGATTTATGATTGCGGCTCCAGAGATCGGCAAACTGTTCAGTCGGTGAGATTTTGCTTCTGGATAAGCTCATCTGATGCCACTCTGGATGAGACGAGCGTTGATAAAAGCAATCTCGTCAGCAACGGTTGGCTAAGATGTGAGGAGTCGGGTGACATGTGATCGACAGAGTGGTTGGGGCCTTATCACCGCCAGTCGTTGATCCGGGGGTGGTTGCCCGCGTAGTGCGACGAGCACATCTACATAGTCCGTACGATCAGTCTAGCTACTTACTAGCCTAAAAATAGATTATTCTCGTTTTTCCATTTCCGAAAGATGCGAACCGAAGGCTCGCAAGTTCACCGAGAGCTGCAGCGCGATGGTATCTGCTTTCCCTGTAGTAGGCACACGCCATTGCCCGTCTGCAGATAAACGCAAAGCCAGCAATGGCTGGACGCAGTGGCAACTGGCAACTGCAAATCGAAGACGTGACAGACGAAAAACCTGGATGCAGGCCCCTGAAAAACCTTAACGATTCAGGGGTGGCGCCAGGCGGGCTTCTTCTCCTCTCACACCCCCTTGGCGCCGTTGGCGGGCAACATCAGGCTTGGTGGGTGCCTCTTTGCGGTCTAGCAAAAGTCAATTTCCTTGGCCGTCGTTCGTCTGAAAATACTTGGCACTTGTGTCTTGGCGACAATCCTGACATGGCCTTTCCGAGACTCGCAGAGTCCAAAGTCCCAAGGGCTGCAGCCGGTTGACTCGGTTGGGGAGGCACAGCAGAAACGCAGCGGAAGATCTTGTGGAAGATGAAAGGAGGAGCCGGTCGGACAAGGCAGAGGGTGACGGGCACTTGACACCGGGGCGCACACATTGCGTCGTAGGACCGAGGGCGACGTGGACTGGGGGGAATCGGGGAGGGGACGTGGAGGATTATTTCAATTAAATTGAACAGCGAGAGCGGCAGATGGGGAATGGAATGCCAGGCTGTCAGCTTATTCTGCAATCTGCACCGTGTTGTTTCTTTTCCACACTCTCTGAGTCTCATTATCCAATATTCATGCCCGCGGAGCGGTGCCGGGCACCGGGGGAGGGGTTGCACTGCTGGGGGAGAACTCCACCTGGCACCCAGCTGCCCACTGCGCGGCAAAGCCGAACGTAAGACTGTACTCCGTAATGTAATAAGGGAGAGGAAGGGAGGGAGGCTCGGGAGCTTGGGAGTCGGGATTCGAACTGCAAGTCTGTTAGAGCCTACGTAGAGAGGGGGAGGTCCGAATCCGATGTTGGCGAGTGGCCTTTCGCGTCCGGATGGGAGCCGCGGTTGTTACTGCAACAAGCGATACGGATACGGTGCAACCATTACACGGCATGACAGCCGGGCAGATCATAGAACGACATCAGCCAAGCCTGTTTTTCTTTTCATGATACACAGTAACGGTCTGCAGGTGGCTGGTCGTTTCCTGGATCAGTGACTCGTAGCATGGCAACCTGATGTGACCATGCCAATCCCATTGCGATGCTTCTTGCGCGACAACCGCTGCAAAGAGAAACGTCGGCGAGATGATCGATAACAGAAGGAAAGGAAAACGGGCTGTGCTGAGCCACTATTGTGCAAATTGGGCCCTCACCGTGCCATCGAGTCGATTCGGCGTTTTGTCCGCATTCCTGAGTGCAGACTAGCACCAACTGAGGGCACATTTCGCAGCGACTTCAGCGAGACATTCAACGAGGCGCGGGCTTTTAGCACGACGACGAACTGGTGTCCATGACGAATGAGAGGCTCGGCTAGTGGCAGCTTGTCTTAGCATCCAGCCTTCCCGCACGCCACACGTAGGCAAAGCTGGACAAGCTCAGGCACAAGTTTGCACACATGCAGCCAGACTGTATAGTGTATGTAGGCTTTTGATAGCTCGGACCCAATGCATTGGAAAACTGGACACTTGTATAGTTTTTCCCGAGGGATGTTTCTCCTTCGCGCGGGAAAAAGAGTAGCGCCTCTGAAACTCATGGCTGATTATGCCAAGAGTCCGAATTTGGTTTACGCTGTCTATAATGTTTTGAGGCATTTGGAACTTGTGGATAAGCATTTTTATGAATGTTTTTATGTATTCTGATTTCGAACATGATGAGAAATATGTATAATGTTTGTTGACCCTGATTTCCCTTCCAGCAGGGTTAGATGATGATGACATATTCCGCGCCCCCCTTATTGTTGCGTAATTCTATACTGATCTATGTGCAGTAGTTACAGGCATTACATTATCGTAACAGTCATCTTTGGTTTTGTACGTCTGTGATGTGCACACATTGTGTGTGCCGTTTGCAAATGTTAAGCGCGTCCCGTAGGCGCCGCCTGTCCCGCGCGTTATGTGTGTGTGATAAAACAACGATGCTATGAGTTGGTTTGAAGCAATCTAGTAGATGAAGGAGAGGACGAAGACGAGGATCGTGTAGGCTGAGGTGACGGTCAACTCGGTCTCGAACCACGCAGCCTGGCCGCCAAAGGCAATCTTCTTGCTCTGGGGTGTCGGGTGGGCGACAAAGGTCTTGGGGTCGCGCTCGAGGAGCTGCTCGCGGTCCGGCATGTTCGGCGGGTCAATGGCGTAGGCGATCGGCGTCCAGAGCGAACTGCAGATGAAGATGAAAGTCAGGGGCGGCCAGAAGGCGTGGGTGATGAGGCACATCAGGATATCGCGGAGCTCATCGTTAACGTAGAAGCAGCGGTACGAGGTGAGAACCACGCCGACAAGGGTGAGGTAGACGAAAGCCAGGTGGAAGATTGCCATGTAGTTGAAGAGGATACCCCAAAGGCGGCGGAACATGCCCTTGCGGTTCTTGGGGTCGCGCTCATTGAGGGCGGAGCCGAGGGATCCGGTGGGCTTGAAGGCCTGCGTCTGGCCACCGAGCCAGGTGGGGAGGATGAATGAGCGAATGATGCAAAGCGCGATGTACGGAGACATCCAAAGCTGATAACGAGAACCGCGCTGGCCGGTGTGGTAGCCCGCGGGGATGAAGAGAGCAAACTCGCACAAACGGTTGGTGAGCGTGGCGGCGAAACAGGCGCGAATGAGCCAGCGGAGCTGCTCATAGTTGGCGTAGGCGACCAGGGGCTTGCCCATGACCAGGATAATCGGGATGGCGAACATGGAAAGGGTCAGGAGAATAGTGTACAGACTGAGTGTGGCGTAAAGGAAACCAGAGAAACGCTGCGCAGCCGTCATCTGCTTGACCTTCTCACCGTACAAGCAGAAGTTGAGCTTGAACGATGTGTCTACAGTACCGATGGCCCAGCGAGTACGCTGCTTGAGATGGCCGCCATAATCCTCGGGGACAGTGCCGAACTGGAGGGGCTCGTGGATGTAGGCCGTCTTCCAGCCCTTTCCAAGCATCAATGTCGAAGTAGCAACATCCTCAGCCAGAGAGCCGAGAGGGAAGTTTCCTATCTCATCCAGGGCCTCACGACGGACGCAGTAGCCGGAACCGGTGCACCAGGCGACGCCGAGGGCGTCCTTGATGGGCTCAATGACGTGAACGAAGAAGTCGAGGGACTGGGCGAGGGGATCGGATGGCGGGGTGTTGTAGAACAGCTGCGGGGGGCAGGCGAGGGCCACCTTGGGGTCAATGAGCATGTGAGGCAGAATGGCACGGAGCCAGTCGCGCTCGGGGATCTGCAGGTTCAGAGTTAGCTGAAGTTGAACATCGGGCGAAAGCTTAAAATCGCGAGAGACGGGATCATCATTGAGAGCTCGAGTGAGCTGGGGCTGGTTTCAACGTACCATATCAGCATCGAGAGCAGCCATGAACTGGCCAGCGCCGCCGGGCATCGTGTGGACAAAGTCGAGGGCGTAATTCAGGTTACCGGCCTTGAAGTGGTGTGGAACACCAGGATACTTGGGGCGGCAGAGGTAGTGAACATTGGGGTAAGTCATGGCCAAGGCCGCAATACCGTTCTCCAGACCTTCGGATTTGCCGTCATCGCAAATAATGACACGGAACCGGTCGCGGGGGTAATCAACGTCGCAGGCGGCGCGGGCAGTGTCGAGAACCAAATCATCCTCTTCACCGCAGCAAGTGAGCAAAACATCGACGGTGGGAACATCCTCGCCCATGAGTCTCAACTTGGGGCGCTGGCGCTTCTTCATAGACCACATGGTCCAGATGTTGTGCATAATTGAGGGAATGGCAACAGCAACTTCGACAGCGATGAAAACCCAGGCCTGGGCGTAGATTTCCTTGGCGAGTTGTTGAGCAGAGATGACGCAGTAGATACGGAGGGCGAGGTAGACGAGGTACATTCCGGTAGCGAGGACGGTGAGAATAGGAACCATGCGGAAGACGTGGCGCTTCCAGCCGCCCCAGATGTCGGAGTCGTCGCGCTTGTGAAGTCTTGCGATCTGGTCGCTGCCCTCAACCCACTCCTTGGCGAGGACCGGCGAGGCCTGTCCGGGGAGCAAGTTTTGCAAACTTTGGTGGCTCTGGTTCTGTTCAAAGCGTCAGCGGGTTTTGAAACTATTGTGATTTAATCAAAAATTGCCATACCATAGGGCTGTTAGGCGTCGAGTCGGTCGACCACGGATGCCTCGGGGCAGCCAAATGATCAAACGGCGTGTTCGCGCCGCTCTTCAGCGTAGGCGTCGCTGAGCGGGACTCGACCGGCGTGTCCATCCCCGAGATCGAGGGTCCGATTGAAGGTGCGCCAGCCATGCCTATCGAGTGACGGTTGGCCCAACCGGGAGGTCCGTACAACTCGTCCCCGGAGACAGCGTGAGGCTGCTGGTACTGTTGTTGTTGGTTGTACGGCGGCTGGAACCCTTCCTGTTGCTGGTACGGAGAAGGTGCGTTGTTCGTCAGGGCGCGTCCGAATTGCTCCTGGGACTGGGTCGGTTCGTTCTGGTACGGGCTACCATACGGGTTTTGAGAGTACTCCTGGTATTGCTCCTGGTACTGAGGTTGTTGGTATTGCTGGTTCTGCTGCATCTGCTGGTTGTTGTTTTGATACGGCGGCTGATATTGATTTTGGTGAGGGTGATGATGTCCTTGAAGAACATCAATTTCCACCATTTCCCCCTCGGGGTAATCCTGACCCTGCTGCGGTCTTCCGTGTCCCCCCATCATGATTGCGGTGTTGACCAACCGACGGCTGGAATGAATGAGTGAATAGCGTGTCTAGGGCGGAAACGTTGTGTGCGTGCCGAAACCAAAGGGACAGCCAGAGTGCGTGTAAGAGGCTGGGTCGCAGGTAAAACAGGAACAATAGTGAATCCCCGCGCGTCTCGCTCTCCCTTCTCTTTTCTCTTCCGCCAAGTTCAGCTCGAGACTTGGACGGACGTTTTGGTTGAAAAACGAATGTGGGTGGTGATGTAAAGGGAAGAAGTATTAGGATCGAAGGAAAAAAAGAAGTCGACCCGCTTAGTACATGTAGGAGGAGTCGTAGCACAGGAGCATCGACCGATATGTCATCCAACAGGAGGAGCTTTTGCACAAGTGGCACCCAAACACAGACGTCCAAGAGCCTGGACTGACTTGACAGACAGGAATCAGAATGCCGGTCAGGTCTGGGGGAGGGAGTGTACAAGAAAAGAGACGGGTTGACAAAAGGCCGGGTTTCTCTTCTCTTGTGCTTCTCGGGGGGGTAAGGTCAACGGGAAGGGGATCAGTCTGGGGGAAAGGAGCAATTGGCAAGCAAGACATGGGACTAGGAGCTTGCTTGGGAGGGCCCGCGGACACATCAGGGACATACATGACTTAACGGGAACCCACTCGGACTCCGCTAAGCCTCACTGCCCTGATTACGATCCGACGAGAGCCTGACGTGATTAAAATTGGGAGGTCCAGGTTGATGGAGCCCACATCATCGGCCTGTCCAGTCTGGGCGCGAAGATGGTGAATCTGTGATGGACTCGCCCCATTTCACATTTCGCCCCGGGTCAGGTCTGTGCCACCTTGGATTTGAGTGGCCTGCCTTGCCAAGCTGTTCTGGGTTATTACCTCCCAATGCCTATTCGCTTTCGTACTCTCTGATTCCTGGAGACAGTGTCGGAGTTGGCTCTGGTTCTTCTACCTATCCCTATGCATACATAGTACTCTGTACACTAGAGAGGTCGTGCCAGCCGGGTGGGATAGAGAGAATTGGCATTGGCAACAGATACCAAGCCAGCTGGACTGGGCATGGAGGGAGACAGCCAAGCGCTTGCTTCAGCAGCGGTGGTCCAAAGGGAAGGGAGGGGGGGTGTGGGAGGTCTGCAGGAAGGGTGTGAGCGGCGCGCGGACACCGGGGATCAGGTTAGCTTGTGTTGCCTAGCAAGCCCATCAAGCCACTCGAAGCCCCGAAAGCCTACTGGCTGGGTTCGACCGCCGCGCCGTTGGTTTGTTGTTTTCTTTTCTATTTTATTTTGATTCTTGGGTCGAGTTAGTGGAGAGTCTGCCGCCTATGGGCACGTTCTCCCTCGTCCGCTCGCATATGCTCACTAAAGGATTGGATGTTTCGGTCAGAAAAGATGGACATAACCAGGGGCCAAGAGTCTCCACTTGGAAGACATTAGGGGAAGGAAAGTACGGATAGTGGTCATAGAAAAGGAAAACAGAAAAAGCTGCCATGAATGGTGACTCGAGCCAAGTTCATTGACCTCTTCCCACCTCTTCCGCGGTGCTCTGTAGCAAGCAAGACAGGGACAACCGGGCAGCTGTCTCTCTCTCTCTCTTCTAAATCTTGACTCTTGAACCTTGATTTGAGGTAGTCTTTGCACCCTCCTTTGCTGTGCTTCCTGTTATTTTCTTCTTCCTCAAGGAGGGGCCGAGCCCACTGTTCGGATGACAATGTTCGCCAATGAGGGCCATCCCAGGACCGTCCAATGAATCCCAGGGTCATCCCAGCGTCCGCATCCAAGGCCGTCGATGGCAGTCTGGTTCTTATCCACTTGCAGGGCCGTTATCTTCACAAATCCCTGCTTTTTTCTCGTGTTCTAGAAATGCGGGTACCATTTTATGCAAGGATGACCGAAGGCAGCCGGCACATTGACTGGCGCTAGGCCAGGGGCCGGTCCGATTTAGAAGCAGGACCTGCAATCGTCGATTTTGTGATCTGAGATGTCCGGCCTGGCTGGCAAAAGTTTGCTTGAGTCTTGGGCCTTTTCGGAGGAGGGGGGAACGACGGGATGATGGAATGGAATGGATGGACCACCACATATCCGCATACTATCTGTATACAAGTTAGGACTCAGCATTGTAGGGGGGTTATTTTTGAGCAGGCAAAAAAGACCGGTCCCAGATAGATCCTCGCCGGTGTAAACGTCCCCAACGGACCTGGCGTTAAACCGTCTGTTTGCCCCAGGACTCCGGTCCTTTCGTTTCGTTTTTTTTTTTTTCTCTCTTGCCCATCACGTTCCGCCCGGTTTGTTTGGGATTCAGACTGGGAGAGCAATTGGTGAACATAAGCACGAGCAAGGAGGACGAGGTAATTACAGTCTGCTGCACTGGATGCAGAAAAGAGGACAAGCCTTTCCGGGGTGGCGTGCTGCGCCGCGGTTGAGGATAGGGGTTCTTATCCTCGTAGACTCTTTCTGGACGTTCGTTTGCCCGACGCGCCTCAGTTCTGCATTTCCCCTTCCCAATATCCTCGCTTGGCTTGGCCTGTTCTTGCGCTCGAATCCCATGCCCTGACGTACAGTTGACTGCTGCCGACTGAACAAGCCTCATCTGGATCCTTTCTGCTCGCCGACTGTCTACTTGTCTGACTCTGCTGTCTCCTCCTGTTGTGGCCTGTGACTGCATTTCTCACGCAGACAGCAAGCCTCACCTCACCCAACGGTTGTGAGCTTGCTCGGATCATCCAGACACGCCCTCTTTCCACACCCCCTTTTCCCTGTCCCCTGGATACCTGCACGAGTCGAGGCCCGCGCCCGCGTTCCCTAACATACCCTTACCTGACCAGACAGACCTGGCTTGAACCTCTCCTTACCTGAACCTCCCACCCACCTAATCGATTACCTACCCTCCCATACCTAAACCAGAATCCGACCGTCACCGACGACACCACTTTCGCTCCTCTGCATGTGCTGCTGCGAATAGAAGTAGACGAATTGCATCGGATTTCCGCCTGAGCCTGTCCGCATCGTCGTCTTTTGGAAGGGACCACTGCAGCAAAACAGCTCGGAGAGAGTCGTAGAAAGCATTCACTTACGCTCTTTTTCCTTACTCTCTCTTTTCCCTATTCAAAATGCCTTTCCTCGGCTTCCGCTGGGTCGTCAACTTCGTGTTGCTGGCCGTCCCCATCGGAGCGACTCTCGGTATCCTCATTGGAATCGACGCTGGCAGAAGTTCAAACGGACAATCGCCAATTTTCACCGAGCCTGACAACCCGGGCACGACACCAAAGAACAATGGCATCACGGCAATGGTATCATGCGACAAGGCAATGGGTCTTCACCCTCTGTCCAAGGGTCAGGAGTACACACGTAAGTCAAGTCCTTTTCATCAGTCTTTCGCGATGTCTTCATCGTCGCCTGTCTCCTTCACGGGAACCTGCCTCTCCGCAACATGCGGCGGCACGGACCGAACACCACGATGCAATCAAGCCTCTCCCGTTGCGGATGCTCTGCGCGCTGTCTGTCTCTATGTCATCTGAACTATTTTGCGTTTTTCTTTGGGAACAACACGGGCTCCCGTGTTTTGTTTGTGTGTTCTGGCCCGCGGACCTTGTCAAGCTTCATGGCATGAGCCGAAGATTTGTTTTGACTTTTGCTCCCTTGAAATGCGAAACCTGTCTGGGCGGGCGTAACCTGGCCGTCTGCTCCAGTTGGCTGGCCTTCCTGTTCATGCAGATACACATGGGATCTTTTCTTTATTACAACAAGACAACAGCATGCTGACGATTTCTGTTTCGACTCAACAGTGAACCCGAACCAGTGGGGTTGGACCGAAGGCACAGATGGTCTCTTGTGTATGAATGTACGTTAAGTCTTGACCCCTCCTCCGCCCGTCTTCATCGCGGGGTTTGGTATCACCAAGGCCAAGCTTTCGAATGCAGCTTCAAGCTACTGCAGCTTCAACGTTTGCATAGCTTGAAGCTGCATTGTCGCCGAGCATGGCCATCACCCATAAGCACCGCGGCTAACCCGTCGCTCCCCGCCTCAGGTTACCACATTCAACAACCAGACATACGATACCGACTTCAGCGCCCCCGAGTTCTACGTCACATGGCGCTACCCCCGTGGCCCCGAGACGCAGCCCGTCCACGCTTTCCCCAACATCAAGGTCGACGGCAGCTCTCTCCCGGTCTCCATTCCCAAGCTCTCAAACATCAACGTAGATGTTGAGTGGTCCTACTCTGTCGGCAACTATACCACCGATGGCGCAGCTGCGACGAACACCGACGAGACTGAGCTTACCGACAATGACACCAACACTAACGTCGCCATCGATATGTTCTTGGACGACGACAAGACCTCGGCGCAAGACAGTACCAAGGCGAAGTACGAAGTGATGGTGTGGTTTGGCACCTTTGGCGCCGCGACACAGCCCATTGGTTACCAAAATGGCGCCGGCGCACTTACCACAGAGACGATTAACGGCACCACATTGTAAGTTGCTGCTTTTTCCGATATCCTTGATTGGAATGTGGGATTTTTGGGAGTCGAAGCTAATAGTACTTGCCTTGCAGCCAACTCTTCTTTGGACAGAACAGTTTGGACCAATACGTCTTGACCTGGAAGGCCACTGCAACGATCGAGCACTTTGTCGGCGATCTCGCTCCACTTCTGACGAAGCTTACCACCATGACCAACGCCAACTTCCCTACGACGTCGACATATCTCGGTTACATGGGTCTCGGTTCCGAAGCGCTCTCAGCCACCAACGTTGTCACGTTCCGCGTACCGACCCTGTCGATGGAGATCAAGGCATCATCATAAGAGAATCAAAAACGAGAAACAGACCATACAATGGTAATGTGTACATTGGATATTGGCCATTTTTTGTTAGCGAGCATTGATATCTACACCAACTAGAATAATGATTTTTTGGGGGACATTGGGATAATGATCACATATTTTGTATATACGCATATATCATCGGATGCGAGGGGCTGTAAGGTAGCTTTGCTTCATCAACGCGCACTTTGAATCAAGATAACCTACCATATTTAATTCGGGCCCAATATCATGTGACCATTGAAATGCTCTTTTGTTGCTGACATTTCGCTTCGCTATGGTCTCCCCACCTCCGCCATTGATGAGAATTGCGCACACATTTACCATGGCAAAGTTATGCAACGAACCGGAGCTCGCGGTGATGAATCCACTTTACATCTCCAAGCGAGCAAAGGAGCTGTCCGCCGAGGCTCTTGGTATGGCCTATTAAGGACAGGGAACCGCCATTTCGGTGTGGATATGTGCCGACTTTCGACCCACATATAATTCCGTACGAAAAATCCCTCCCAAATTCAAGTTCGTCGAAGGATTCGCAGGCGGCCTGAGGCCAGCGATAGGGGGGTGAAAATTGCCTAGGCAAAACCTGGGCAGACGCAGGTACAGAACGCTTAGCGACAAGGGCTACCTGGCAGACTTGGCCAAGGTTTCTCTGCCCAGTTCCACCCCAGTCTATCCGTACACTACACTCGTCAGAATTGGTCAGGGCCTCACGGGCTTTTTCCTGGAGGGATGGGACGGGAGGAGGGGGGATTGGAAGGGCAAAAAAACGTCCCCCCACCAGACGACGTCAGAACGCCCAGCCGCGGGTGCGCAGCGCGTAGAAATTGGATCCCCCTCTCGGGATGGGCGGGCAAAGGGGGCGGCAGAGTTACGGATGGTAAGGTGAGCCTTGAAGTTTAGTTGTCAGTTGTCAGCTTGACAACCCAGGCTGTGCCTGTTCAGCGCGGCAAGTTTCGAGCCGCGAGTCGCAATTGCTGCTGCCCAGCGGGTGGGAAACATTTGGGGGGAAAGTGTTGATTGCGTATTTCCCAAAGTTTTCGTGTTCACATTGCCGTTATTGGTACGAAGAAGCAGATGGGCCCGAAACTCTGATGGCCGCCGCCCCATCTCCGTTCATTCGCAGGATTGACTCGAGTTCGTCATCAGTGTTCAGAATGCAACAAGACACTGTCTCGGCCGATCGCTGGAGTTGAATTCCTGAACTGCCCGTCGTTCAGCTCCCGTCGTCTGCTCCAGATTCGCTGCCAGATCTGCGCGGCACGGAGTGTGGCTGTACACCACGGATACGACCGGAGAGGAGGGGCATGAGTCGAGTCAACTAGCACGGTCGCATTCCAGTCCTCGTGTTCAGTGGTGCTGGCAGGTCTAGTCTGCCAATCGGCTCGGCCCTGCTGGGTTCATGTTCGATGAGCGATGCATTGTTCAGCAGTTGATGGCGGCCGCGCATTTGCTCCACGGCCTTTTCGCCTCTTGGCGGCTCCCTCTTCGATTGGGAATCTGAGGCGCAGGCGACAGACGCGATCGTGGCGGTGGCGGCGACGGGAAAATGAAACGCCGTCGTCGCGATAGAACGTTCATGGTGTTGCGAAAAATCGAGATCAACCATTGAAGTCAACTCTCAAGGATAGGCGACTGTTTGAACGATGTGCTACGAGACTCGCACTCTGTTGAGATTCCGTCAATCTACGCACGAGAAGGAACTAATAGAAGGATTCGGCACAAGGATTCCAAGCTCTGCTTTAGGTATCTTAAACATCATGACTTGAGAGTTGCTGCACGTGCTCCTAAATCCTAGAAAGATACAAACAAATGCCGACGTGCCAACTTTAAAGAATGCATTCTGTCTGTGTCGTTGAAATATAGTTGGTTTAAATGACGTTTTCGGTATTTGTAGATCGCGGGAAGGACGCAGTCACATCGTCGGTAGTGGTTCAATCAATTGTGTCTCGCTTAGTTCTCGTCATCCTCTCGGGATTGAGGAGCGGCCTGTCACCTCGGCGTCATGCAGGCGATGGCTGTAACACCATCGCTCCGAACCCATGCGATCTATATGTTGGTTCGCTTCCAGCCGTGGCGGGCGATCAATTGCTGGGTAGTGGGCGAGATCCTTTTCGGATCCTCTATGTCCTCAGACTCAAGACAGCGACGGAGCCCATCCTTCCGGTGTGCCCACTTGGGTAAAGCTGCGATGAAGCTTAGACCAAGTTGTCGCATTATTCTGTTATTTCAATGGAAGGTGTTTTATGAATCGAGCATTATCAGAGAGGCAAGTGCATCGTTTGTGCTTTTTGAACAGGTTAATACTTTGTTCAACTGGGTGCAATAGTTTCAAACTTGCGAAGGAAGATAATCACCTTTACCAACCGCAACAATTTCGCAAATACTTGGCTTTCACCTCGCTGTTGTACAAATACGCAGAATAATGAATTTGTCGTCAATATTGATATACAAGTTGTTCTTATGTGGTCAGATATTCGCTGTGCTGCGATCGGTCTTGAGAGGTCTCGATCAGTTGCTGAGACTGTTGGAGAGCTTGCACAGCATTACAATTTGTTGGCCTCGCTAAAGCGGAGAACCATATTTCCAGGAAGCTCAATGAATAACAATGGATGGAATCCTCTAGCGAAAGAGTTGTGACCTCGAGTCTTTGGTACGAATTAAGTTGCTACGATGGTACGTAATGGTGAGACTCTGCAAATACGGTCCTCCTGGAAACTGATTCCTTAAGAAAGAAATATTTCCAAGAAAGGCGAGTCTTAACGAGCACTCAGAGACTCTTTGAGTATGCTTTCACAGGCAGAGGTCAAATTCGACCTCGCATTTGGCTTGGACCAACAATTTTGTAGAAAGTTTCTATACTTACCTGCCAAGGGTGACACTAGACTGCCAACTCGCAAAACCTTTTCTAGAAACTTATTCTTCATCTTGGACTCTAGAGTAATTTCGGACGAGCCGAGTTGGACATACTTCCAGTTGACATTGCACGTAAGTAATCCATATAATATGCGGCTTCGAAATGGCCTCAATGAATACAAGTAAGTGAGGCTGGGTCTTCAGAGTCCTAAGTCCACTGTCTCGTGGTCTTCGGTTCGCAATTGCAACCTGATATGTTAAAGCCTCCAGCCATACTTGTTTTCAGACCTCTTCGGACTCCAATCACGATGTCTTTCGAACTTCTACCACATCATGGTGCGATTTGACAAATTCTCTACCGAGCCAAACAAAAGGATCACCTGGAAAGGAGGATTTCCTTAACTTGTCAATTTATGAGAAATTACTTCTAATGCCGTAAGCGATCATCAGCAACCTCACGAACAGTTTCTGTCTCTAAGGGAAGCCTACTAGTACTCAACTACCGCAAATCAGGCGCGTAGTGACATCAAATGAGATTGCGTTGGTCTATGATCATTCAATTGGGGACATGATCAGTAAAGACAGAAGATGATCTGGCATCTTAAACATAACTGCCACTGAAAGAAGTCCGACTGGGCTTGTGATCGGGGAAACTGGACTAGGTAGGGAGAGGTCTCGAATGCCGTGCCGAGACTTATCGGATGGCCGCCGAAGTAATAACATATGATGTGTCTAAAAGAATCCGGAGCCACGTGTACAAAGTGCTGAGCAAGCTGTAAAGATACTAATGATAAGGAAACCAAATCTACGGTCCTCAATAACCTCGTAGGTATTTGGAAGATCCCCATGCTTCCCGTGCTTCTCTTGAGTATCTTTGGCCTGATAGATTTTCAAGCTATTGCTGGACGATAGGAATGAGCAATAGAATGGACTTGAATGTAATAGTCTATGATGAAGAGGTCCAGGAGCTCAATTTGTGCCTAGTCTCCAAGATTCGCGGCAGTGTGACCATTGTAATAGATGACTCGCTTTCATTGTTACGAAAAATATTGCTAGGCCTTCAAAAGATTGGATAGAGCTGTAAGGGCAAACATGTAGTCCGACGTAAGTTAAGGAGTCTAAAGATATGAGACTACTTGTGAGCATTGTTCTCCAGCCTGAATTGCCGCAAAATGACCTCTTCGATGGCTTCATTCACTTTGTGTTTGGCAAGAGATGACTTTCAATCGCGACTCTGTATAAACCACTTAGCACTTCGATTTCCTATGAGAAGTTCCCAAAGTAAACCCAGAAGAGACACTTGGTAGTCGAGACACTACGTATAGCAAAGACTGGCCAAAAGCTCGCCTCTACCACTACATCGAGAGAAACATAACTCTACTATTGCATATGAAGAATCAAAACTTCGCGTAAAGCACGTGGTTCAGAGCTATGAGCAGGATCCCAAGCCAGCAACACCAAGTCCACCAACTTCACCAACTTTACCAACTTCAGAGGCCCGATTCCCAGCATTTCTTCGCCTTCCCAGTGAGTTGCGCGACATGATCTACGAGTACTCAGACATGGTTCTTCTACAAAAGAGGCTCTGGGTTAACCTGAGTTCCATCTCCAGCGAGCCTCACTGGGAAAGGGTGGTTTGTCGCGTTTGTTCAAAGACAGCAGAAACATGCCTCTGCCTGAGACCAAGTCTTCTCGTAACAGAGGGTACAATACGAAACGAAGTCATAGACCTCTTCTTTGCCAAGAAAAACTTCCAATTTGAGCCGTCATCATAGTTCTCCTTAGCCAAACTCAACAACCCGAATAAGAGACCGAGCCGGTGACGGACATCATTGATGCCGCAGGAGCTATGGAAGGAAGTCATATCGCATATGCACCGGATCAGCATCACTCTGAAGTGGGACGAGGCCCACCTTGTTCCCGTCTACTCAGCGCTTATGAGAAACGCGCATAAGGTCACTGAGCTTACCAGTTGCTTGCCGAACGGCAGAAAGAGGGCAGGCAGGATGGAATCGAAAATGTACGAAAGGTTCTTGAGGGAGATCACTAAGATTACTACCCTAAGAACGATCAAGCTTGGGTGTCAAACGTCGCGTGCAATGTATACCCTGTAAGTCAAACCCCCCACTTCCCGGCACCCCCCTGTTTCTGGCACCCACAAAAACGCGAAAATCCACCACAACGCAATGCCCACCCCCAACCTCCTTTTATCACAACATTTTCAATTCGAGTCCAAATGGGCTCATTTTTTGCACATACCTTCTTCTATATCTAATGCCTCAATATACCGAAGATCAGCTTCGTCAGGCTCTCGAGGACATCTCAAACGGCAAGAGTCAAAAGAGAGCCTCATTGGAGTAT